AATCAGATCAGGCAGATGTTAGGGGTTTGATTCTATCCCATAAACCTTTGTCCATCATGGGAGAAGTAGTTTATCACGTTGGATGATTGGAGCTGCTCAATAAACTGATCGCACCCTAAACATGGAAACGTGGATATTATGAACATTGTGAACCTTACGGGAGAGGAGATACGTACACACTACACAGACAGCGTAGAATGAAATCACAGTGACATGGGATCCCCCATAACCTGGCGATGGCTAGCGTCCTTTGTACTTTGCTTTCTTTATCCCTCATTAGATGTCCACCTCTGTTCCTTTTGTATGCTCATCTCTCTCTACCCGTATCTTCCCGAATCTCCACTCTCAGGGTCTATTCACTGAACACAGAATTGTGGTGAATTGAAAAACAAATGTCAAAATTTAGATTAAAAAGACTTAATTTGGCATAATTCTCCAACTCTGTTACACTCTTGAATTGCCCATTTTAGTTTTAGATTTGCAATTAGTGTTTTTTTTTCTTTCAACATAAAATTCTCAAATAGTAAAGTACATTACTATATAATCAGGGCTCGAGTCCTGCAGGAACGCATGGGAACGGCGTTCCTGCACTTTTTCCATAGCAGGAACGCCGTTCCCGTTACCTGTCCTGCAGGACCGGCCCTGCTACCTGCACAGAGGGGCCATCACACGCTGTGTTCCCTCTCCAGCTATAACTCTCGCGAGACCCGCGGCTGTTACCATGGCAACGCTCCGCACAGGCGAGTCTCGCGAGAGTTAGAGCTGGAGAGGGAACACAGCGTGTGATGGCCCCTCTGTGCAGCGGCTGGCTCCCTCCAGCATACCACCGGACCACCAGGCGATCTCCCCCCTCCCTGACAAGGTAAGAAGCAGGGAGGGGGGAATAAAATAAAAAAAATATAAACACATAAAGTAAGAAAAAAATGCTCCCCCCCCCCACACATCATCCAGCACTCACACACCCATCATCCAGCACTCACACACACACCCATCATCCAGCACTCACACACACCCCCATCATCCAGCTCACTCATCACACACACCCCCATCATCCAGCACTCACACACACACACCCATCATCCAGCACTCACACACACACCATCATCAGCACTCACACACACACACATCACACACACACTCATCCAGCACACACACACACACCCATCATCCAGCACTCACACACCATCATCCAGCACACACACACATCATCAGCACTCACACACACATCATCCAGCACTCACACACCCATCATCCAGCACTCACACACACCACATCATCCAGCACTCCACACACACCCATCATCCAGCACCACACACACCCATCATCCAGCACTCACACACCCATCATCAGCACTCACACACACACCCCATATCCAGCACTCACACACACATCATCCAGCACTCACACACACATCATCCAGCACACACACACATCATCCAGCACACACACACATCATCTAGCACACACACACACACATCATCCAGCACACACACACACATCATCCAGCACTCACACACATCATCCAGCACACACACACACACATCATCAGCACTCACACACGCATCATCCAGCACACACATCATCCAGCACACGCACACACTGCATTCTGCACTCACTACACACTACATTCACTATACACACTCTGCATTTATTATGCATTCTGCACTCACTACACTGCATTCACTCTGCATACACACTACACTGCATTCATTGTACACACACTGCATTTCACTACAAACACTACATTCATTATACACACCTGCACTATATGCATAGGAGTGTAATTTTTAAAAGGGGAATCTTGGGTGAGTTCCCACACTTTTTTCCCCAGGACTTGACCCCTGTATATAATATCTACATAGAATTGTTATACAGACACAAAGTCTCAATATTGTTTTACAATAAAAGGTGGAGGGAATGAAAGATAGATAAAACTGTAACATACTCATTTCATCATGTACTCAATTAGGAAGAATTACGTTGGTTTGTGAAAGAGAAGCCATGGCTGCGTTAGATTCAGGAATTTATTACACAAGCTGCTTTTTCCAATAGTGTGATCTGATTCCCATCTCAGGAGGCTGTGGGTTTGTCCAGGACAATGTGGGGTTTAGTGAACAAGTCCTTTGATATTTGGAGGTATATTTTCCTCTTCTTTATACTCCCCACATTCATTTTATTCATCGCTTCCCTGATGGAAGCTGTCTGTTATTAAGATTTGACACAATCAGCCATGCAGCTTAGGGTTGCCATCAGGCTGTTATTTGAGGAGACACACTGCGAGACCAGGAGAGACACAGTTGGACAATAACAGGAGGTGAGAGACACAGATCATGGGAGTTAATAGGAGGAGAGACACAGATGGGGGTTAACAGGAGAAGAGACACAAAGGGGGATTAATAGAAGTAGAGATGGATGGGGGGTTGGACAGGAGGAGATACAGATGGAGGTTTGGACATTATGTATCTCCTCCTGTCCAAGAGAGACACAGATGGGGGTGTACTCTGAGATGGCGGTATGGCAAGCATTTGATTGGACAGCACAATGAAGATGTGATATGAATAGAGAAATAGAAACCAGTGTGGGCAGCTTTGCTGGTTTCCAGGCCAGTATTTTACTTTGTATTAGAGGTAATTTTAACCATTTGGGGGGAAGGAGGAAGTCACTAATGTCCAATAGGGCATTACTGAATAAACAGCTTATATTGGCAACCTAGTCTCACACGAGGATCAGTGACAACATGGCAATCTCATGTCGCTCAGCCAATGTTATTTACAGTGCCCTGGCAATATCTACTAGCTAGATACAGCAGCAAGCTTAACCTAGTCTCACGCCAGGATCAACGGCCCAGGCTATCGCCCACACTGGCGGAGCGAGGGTAAAACACTGTATCCCTGCTGGTCTGCCTCTATCAATAGCTGCAGTCAGAGTGTCGAGCAGAATCCCGCCTAGAAATATAGATAGTTTTATTTCGCCTCCTTTTTCCCTCTGTTGGTCACTTAACGCGATGTGTGAATAAAATCCACATTTAGCGACGGTCCCTGAACCATTGTTTTTGTGCTACCTCTTGATTGGACAGGAGATCCAGCCACTGCGATTGGGCAGACCTCTTTCTATCATGGCAAGCTAAGCATGTTATTTGCTTCCCCTCCCATAAATAAATAAATAAAATAAACTGGTCGCTGAGAGCATTAGCTAGTGCTCTCCTCCTATCACCAGCCACCAAAGTCTGGTCCAACAGGATGGTGGACGAGACCTACATTGACGTTAAACCATTCAAAAAGAATTAACCTCTGAAAGATATAATGGTTATGGGGTGGGAGTGTTCATTTGAAAAGGTACCCCAAGCATCATGACAACTTCACAATAAAACACTGCGCACACAGAGCGAAGGGACTGCTTCCACTTCTAAGAGTATGAGACTTCCAGGCTAGTTAACGTGAAATCTGTGAATAAAAGATGTCTGTTGCCTGGACGCATTGCATGAATAGAAATAAATGATGAATGGCGATACAGCCCCCTTTGTGCAGTCCAAATCCTCCCGCTCTAGCAAGGTGAGTTGACATGTTTTTAACACTGTAGTAACATTTGCTGTCATGATCCAACTCAACCAAATACGTTTTTTTATTTAAAAAAATAAAAATAAAAAAAAATTTGGGTTGGAGTAACCCTTTTAATATACTAATTGAGCCCATCGAATGCAATCGAACACCTAGAGAAGAACTGAAAAACTTGATGACTATTTAATCTTTTATTCCAATCTTTATTGATCAAGTTACACAATCCATTCTAATATAAAAAGAGAAATTTAAAACATTCATACATATGTGGGCTGGGGATGATTCGGTCACTGGTGAAGAGTTATCCTGTGTTTATCCACCAGTAACCGCTGTACCCAATTTCAGCCGGGTGGGTTATAACTCCTGCGGTTCACAGTGATGTTCAAACTAATCCTGTGCGGATTTTTGCATAACACATTATTTGAGAAATATCAGGGATTTTCCACTTTAAGGCAATTTATTTTGGCTTTGAACACTCTTAACAGAAACCCACAATATTCCCAGAACCTTGTACCAGTAAATCAGGACCAAAATCAGTGCCAGGTGTGTTACATGGGGAACACAATTATCTTGAGGTAAAATCCACACCAGACAGAGGGCAGTATGGGCGTCACCTTGGAGAACAGACGTGGGGTCCAAGAATCTCACCTCTGCTCACAGGAGAATTGGTACTTTCCAATGTTATTTAAAGGACCCTTTCACTGCCGACATGTTGACCATCTTTCTGATCCAAGTGTAGAGCACCTAACTTTTTTAAATGTGAGATGTCATTATGGGAGATTGGTTTTACCCTGTTGGTCAAGGAAGGTCTGTAATCATCCAATAAAGAAACTGGGAAAAGAGACCATAGTATGTTTACTGAACACTCGTTGGGAAACCCAAATAATGGTCAGAAGGAGAACACAGTCCTTCCCTGGCCGGTCCATGGATAACCCCCCGTCCCTTACTGGGGAATCAGACTTTAAATGTGCATTATGGAGGTACATTATGGAAAACCAGTCTTTGTGTGATAGAAGGGGTCTGGCGTTGGATTCCTGGAGGTTCTACTTGTGTATTTATCCCTGATGATACATTGGAGCATAAAGTTCTTATAAGAGGTCACTCTGGTGATAAATGTTCTACAGAGAGAAGCCCTGTGATCCAGGAGAGGAGATAATAGTTGGAATCCTGATGGACCCCACAATGCGAGGAGTGTCAGATTGGCCACACAGATCTACATGGGCCACGGAGAACCCAAGGTCTCTCAGCCTGGTTAATGGACTGCAGCAACATGGCTATGCAAGACTTTATTGGGTGCAGAAGATTGTGGGAAATGATTGTGGGAAATGCGTTCTGTCTTAGTGATTAAAACCCTAAATAATGAGGTGAATGACAGCAGGCATGGGGCAGGGAGGAGTGTTTGGCAGCAAACCCACAAAATGCCACAGTCCGCACGTCATCATATTATCCACACATTGTCATCGTCAACCACTGGAAGAGAAAAGCAAACATCAGATAAAATGTTGGATCAAGACATGAGTGGTCAGAAGATAAATCCCCACATCCGCCATGTCTTCTGGGCTAAATATCACTGCAGTCCTGCTCATCCCTAACCTCTCCAATATGTACAATAAACAAAGCAAAATAGCAGTCAGATTGTATTAATGAATATATAGATATATTATTAAATTACAGTCTATAAACATAATCTGACCCCATGCTTCTCCTTTTCACTGATTTGCAATTGGCAAAACAGGTCCCCAGCCTATTATTGGCAAAGCATCATGGAACTTGTACTTCTGTAGGTTAGCAAGTTTTCAACCCAGGAGCGGAGAGCAAGCCCCGACCCAAGAGCGGAGAGCAAGCCCCGACCCAAGAGCAGAGAGCAAGCCCCGACCCAAGAGCGGAGAGCAAGCCCCGACCCAAGAGCGGAGAGCAAGCCCCGACCCAAGAGCGGAGAGCAAGCCCCGACCCAAGAGCGGAGAGCAAGCCCCGACCCAAGAGCGGAGAGCAAGCCCCGACCCAAGAGCGGAGAGCAAGCCCCGACCCAAGAGCGGAGAGCAAGCCCCGACCCAAGAGCGGAGAGCAAGCCCCGACCCAAGAGCGGAGAGCAAGCCCCGACCCAAGAGCCGGAGAGCAAGCCCCGACCCAAGAGCCGAGAGCAAGCCCCCACCCAAGAGCCGAGCAAGCCCCCACCCAAGAGCCATGGAGCAAGCCCCACCCAAGAGCTTGAGAGCAACCCCACCTCAAGAGCCGAGAGCAAGCCCCCACCCAAGAGCCGCAGCAAGCCCCTCGACCCAAGAGCGAGAGCAAGCCCCGACCCAAGAGCGAGAGCAAGCTCACCCAAGAGGCTGGAGTAGCAGCAAGCCCCTGCACCCAAGAGCCGAGAGCAAGCCCCGACCCAAGCGAGCGAGAGCAAAGCCCCACCCAAGAGCTGAAAGAGAGCAAGCCCCTCACCCAAGAGCGGAGAGCAAGCCCCGACCCAAGAGCGGACAGCAAGCCCCGACCCAAGAGCGGAGAGCAAGCCCCGACCCAAGAGCGGAGAGCAAGCCCCGACCCAAGAGCGGAGAGCAAGCCCCGACCCAAGAGCGGAGAGCAAGCCCCGACCCAAGAGCGGAGAGCAAGCCCCGACCCAAGAGCGGAGAGCAAGCCCCGACCCAAGAGCGGTGAGCAAGCCCCGACCCAAGAGCGGAGAGCAAGCCCCGACCCAAGAGCGGAGAGCAAGCCCCGACCCAAGAGCGGAGAGCAAGCCCCGACCCAAGAGCGGAGAGCAAGCCCCAAAAGAGAATCACCCCTTTATCTTGGTGAGCTGTAGGAAATACACTTACCTCTCCAAGATTCATTGCTGCTGTGCCGCTCCCTTCCTCATCCATAGCCTTAAAGAATCCTGTGAAAAGAAAGCAGGGAGTAAGGGGGAGGGGGAACAGTGATATTATTCCTTATATGATCCTGCTTGTGGACAGTCGGCACAGCATATACAGGCCAGAATGCACAGTGTGAACTGTATATAAGGAAAGAGTGGGCGCTATGAGCTGTATATAAGGACAGAGTGCATACTATAGGCTGTATAATTTGTTACCCCCTCAACTATGTCATCCAATAAACTACCCCTTCACTGTAAATTATTACAGTAACCTACGTTTCCCGTACATGAGATACACCCTCTTACGTCACTTTACCCCACTCCCTGTAGAATGCAAGCTGGTTTGAGCAGGACACTCAATACGGTCTGTTCCTGTGCGTCCAACAATGTCTGTTAGCCCACCTATTGCACAGCGCTACGGAACTTTCTAGTACTTTACAAATACTAATAATATAAATGAAGAGAAATATAAAAGCTGGGATAGTCTGCGACTGCAGATCCTCTCAACTTTATTATGGTCACCAAAATGACACTCCAGTGGTGTCTGTGGCTTATCCCCCTGGTAATTCACAAAAAGAAAAATACAATATCCACATTCAAGACAAAACAAACCGCCTATAAATGCTGATATAGTCTGGATAATGTGAAAAGCTTCACACAATGCTGATCTGACTTAGAACCAAAAGTATAAGAGTCAGAGTAATTGCTAAAGCAAAGCTGCCTTTCTCTGGCTGTAAAATAACTCCATTAGGATTCCTACAATAAAGGCTTTATTGTGAATTGGCCAAGTTATGGGACATCCCAAGGGTTAATGGAGTCCAGTTTGCAAAGTAAAGGGAGATAGTCCGTTTCAATGCTAAATGTTCACTGTGATATGTGAACATAGATTGAAGCAAGGCTGATATACATCAAAGATAGTGGATATTTGCCATTGGGCATATACCACATAATAGTATCTTAGTTTAGTAATGTGTAAAGCAGCAATAATAGTATCTTAGTTTAGTAATGTCTAAAGCAGTAATAATAGTATCTTAGTTTAGTAATGTGTAAAGCAGCAATAATAGTATCTTAGTTTAGTAATGTCTAAAGCAGTAATAATAGTATCTTAGTTTAGTAATGTCTAAAGCAGTAATAATAGTATCTTAGTTTAGTAATGTCTAAAGCAGCAATAATAGTATCTTAGTTTAGTAATGTCTAAAGCAGCAATAATAGTATCTTAGTTTAGTAATGTGTAAAGCAGCAATAATAGTATCTTAGTTTAGTAATGTCTAAAGCAGTAATAATAGTATCTTAGTTTAGTAATGTCTAAAGCAGTAATAATAGTATCTTAGTTTAGTAATGTGTAAAGCAGTAATAATAGTATCTTAGTTTAGTAATGTGTAAAGCAGTAATAATAGTATCTTAGTTTAGTAATGTGTAAAGCAGCAATAATAGTATCTTAGTTTAGTAATGTCTAAAGCAGTAATAATAGTATCTTAGTTTAGTAATGTGTAAAGCAGTAATAATAGTATCTTAGTTTAGTAATGTCTAAAGCAGTAATAATAGTATCTTAGTTTAGTAATGTGTAAAGCAGTAATAATAGTATCTTAGTTTAGTAATGTCTAAAGCAGTAATAATAGTATCTTAGTTTAGTAATGTGTAAAGCAGCAATAATAGTATCTTAGTTTAGTAATGTCTAAAGCAGTAATAATAGTATCTTAGTTTAGTAATGTGTAAAGCAGTAATAATAGTATCTTAGTTTAGTAATGTGTAAAGCAGCAATAATAGTATCTTAGTTTAGTAATGTGTAAAGCAGCAATAATAGTATCTTAGTTTAGTAATGTGAAAGCAGTAATAATAGTATCTTAGTTTAGTAATGTCTAAAGCAGTAATAATAGTATCTTAGTTTAGTAATGTGTAAAGCAGTAATAATAGTATCTTAGTTTAGTAATGTGTAAAGCAGCAATAATAGTATCTTAGTTTAGTAATGTGTAAAGCAGTAATAATAGTATCTTAGTTTAGTAATGTCTAAAGCAGCAATAATAGTATCTTAGTTTAGTAATGTCTAAAGCAGCAATAATAGTATCTTAGTTTAGTAATGTCTAAAGCAGTAATAATAGTATCTTAGTTTAGTAATGTCTAAAGCAGCAATAATAGTATCTTAGTTTAGTAATGTCTAAAGCAGCAATAATAGTATCTTAGTTTAGTAATGTCTAAAGCAGCAATAACAGTATCTTAGTTTAGTAATGTGTAAAGCAGTAATAATAGTATCTTAGTTTAGTAATGTCTAAAGCAGCAATAATAGTATCTTAGTTTAGTAATGTGTAAAGCAGTAATAATAGTATCTTAGTTTAGTAATGTCTAAAGCAGTAATAATAGTATCTTAGTTTAGTAATGTGTAAAGCAGTAATAATAGTATCTTAGTTTAGTAATGTCTAAAGCAGCAATAATAGTATCTTAGTTTAGTAATGTGTAAAGCGGTAATAATAGTATCTTAGTTTAGTAATGTGTAAAGCAGCAATAATAGTATCTTAGTTTAGTAATGTCTAAAGCAGCAATAACAGTATCTTAGTTTAGTAATGTGTAAAGCAGTAATAATAGTATCTTAGTTTAGTAATGTCTAAAGCAGTAATAATAGTATCTTAGTTTAGTAATGTCTAAAGCAGCAATAATAGTATCTTAGTTTAGTAATGTGTAAAGCAGTAATAATAGTATCTTAGTTTAGTAATGTCTAAAGCAGTAATAATAGTATCTTAGTTTAGTAATGTGTAAAGCAGCAATAATAGTATCTTAGTTTAGTAATGTGTAAAGCGGCAATAATAGTATCTTAGTTTAGTAATGTCTAAAGCAGTAATAATAGTATCTTAGTTTAGTAATGTGTAAAGCAGTAATAATAGTATCTTAGTTTAGTAATGTCTAAAGCAGCAATAATAGTATCTTAGTTTAGTAATGTGTAAAGCAGTAATAATAGTATCTTAGTTTAGTAATGTCTAAAGCAGTAATAATAGTATCTTAGTTTAGTAATGTCTAAAGCAGCACTTTTAGTTAAAGAAAATGCAGCATAGATAAGATACAGCCTCTCTCCCTGTTAAGCTTAACAGACAGTCAGAGATTAGAAAAAGGAAAAGAAAGGTTAAGTGCTATTAAAATTATACCAAGTTAAATATGCATGGTATAGTACACCAAAGTGACCCTGTGAGATAAGAAAATAGCCCGACGCACGTTTTGATGAACTGCGTTTACACCTTCGTCAGGGGGAAGAGATACTCTGCATCAACTTTTAAACCTTCAGCCCCACATGAGGTCCTTAACTGGCAGCCAATCCAATGGTGCCGTTTTAATTGTAATTAAGCAATTGCAGATTGTTTAATTTTGTTATGGAACAGCTTCTTAGATTTAAGTTCTGTCGATCTCCTGGCGTCAGGCTATGTATACACTAATTCCAACTATAGTACATAACATCATGACATAACTAAATGCACATGAATGGTCCTATTACCCCTCTATATAGGGGGCACTGTTAGGTGATCTGGAGTGGCTTAACTTACAGAACCTGAATACTTGGTATATCGATATCTATTAATCAATGATTGTATAACTTTATTTCATCATAGAGTCCAAAGATCATTGTAAATATAACGCCGAATGACTTATTACAGGCCACATAACGGCACCACATACTGGCAGTGCCATGGGTAATTCTTTTCAGCCCCTTGGATAGTCATCTCTCACTAGAAGTATACTTCTAAGCACATCTCCAAGGTGGAGAATATCAAAAAGGTTCATTTTGGGATCTCTTGATCCATGCACGTATAGACAAAAACATGGTACACTATGAACAGTATAGGAAGTCGTTCATATGACAGCAGGTAATTAATTAGGAATGAAATCGATACTGATGAAATCAGAATGTATCAAATCTGTATTTCTTGCCTAAGCAATAATCCATTTATCATAGAGATTGCCACCATAATATATATTCATAGTGAAAACGTATTTCACACGACTCATTGATATTAGATTTAACATGTGCTCCTTACAACAAGGCGTGAAACAGTGATCCCAGAATAACTGCTAAACCAATTCATATAAAATCGTCAAGATCAGTACTAAAATTACCAATTGGCTGGTCCATAACAAAATTAAACAATCTGCAATTGCTTAATTACAATTAAAACGGCACCATTGGATTGGCTGCCAGTTAAGGACCCCATGTGGGGCTAAAAGTTTAAAAGTTGATGCAGAGTCCGTGTATCTCTTCCCCCTGACAAAGGTGTACACACAGTACATCGAAACGTGCGTCGGGCTATTTTCTTATCTCACAGGGTCACTTTGGTGTACCATGCATATTTAACTTGGTATCATTTTAATAGCACTTATCCTTTCTTTTCCTTTTTCTAATCTCTGACTGTCTAGTAAGCTTAACAGGGAGAGAGGCTGTATCTTATCTATGCTGCATTTTCTTTAACTAAAAGTGCTGCTTTAGACATTACTAAACTAAGATACTATTATTACTGCTTTACACATTACTAAACTAAGATACTATTATTACTGCTTTAGACATTACTAAACTAAGATACTATTATTGCTGCTTTACACATTACTAAACTAAGATACTATTATTACTGCTTTACACATTACTAAACTAAGATACTATTATTACTGCTTTAGACATTACTAAACTAAGATACTATTATTGCTGCTTTACACATTACTAAACTAAGATACTATTATTGCTGCTTTACACATTACTAAACTAAGATACTATTATTGCTGCTTTACACATTACTAAACTAAGATACTATTATTACTGCTTTAGACATTACTAAACTAAGATACTATTATTGCTGCTTTACACATTACTAAACTAAGATACTATTATTACTGCTTTACACATTACTAAACTAAGATACTATTATTGCTGCTTTACACATTACTAAACTAAGATACTATTATTACTGCTTTACACATTACTAAACTAAGATACTATTATTGCTGCTTTAGACATTACTAAACTAAGATCCTATTATTGCTGCTTTAGACATTACTAAACTAAGATCCTATTATTACTGCTTTACACATTACTAAACTAAGATACTATTATTGCTGCTTTACACATTACTAAACTAAGATACTATTATTACTGCTTTAGACATTACTAAACTAAGATACTATTATTACTGCTTTACACATTACTAAACTAAGATACTATTATTGCTGCTTTACACATTACTAAACTAAGATACTATTATTACTGCTTTAGACATTACTAAACTAAGATACTATTATTACTGCTTTACACATTACTAAACTAAGATACTATTATTACCGCTTTACTAAACTAAGATACTATTACTGCTTTACACATTACTAAACTAAGATACTATTATTGCTGCTTTACATTACTAAACTAAGATACTATTATTACTGCTTTAGACATTACTAAACTAAGAGATACTATTATTACCGCTTTACACATTACTAAACTAAGATACTATTATTGCTGCTTTACACATTACTAAACTAAGATACTATTATTACTGCTTTAGACATTACTAAACTAAGATACTATTATTACTGCTTTAGACATTACTAAACTAAGATACTATTATTACTGCTTTAGACATTACTAAACTAAGATACTATTATTGCTGCTTTACACATTACTAAACTAAGATACTATTATTACTGCTTTAGACATTACTAAACTAAGATACTATTATTACTGCTTTACACATTACTAAACTAAGATACTATTATTACTGCTTTAGACATTACTAAACTAAGATACTATTATTACTGCTTTACACATTACTAAACTAAGATACTATTATTACTGCTTTAGACATTACTAAACTAAGATACTATTATTGCTGCTTTACACATTACTAAACTAAGATACTATTATTACTGCTTTACACATTACTAAACTAAGATACTATTATTACTGCTTTACACATTACTAAACTAAGATACTATTATTACTGCTTTAGACATTACTAAACTAAGATACTATTATTACTGCTTTAGACATTACTAAACTAAGATACTATTATTACTGCTTTACACATTACTAAACTAAGATACTATTATTACACATTACTAAACTAAGATACTATTATTGCTGCTTTACACATTACTAAACTAAGATACTATTATTACTGCTTTAGACATTACTAAACTAAGATACTATTATTACTGCTTTACACATTACTAAACTAAGATACTATTATTGCTGCTTTACACATTACTAAACTAAGATACTATTATTACTGCTTTAGACATTACTAAACTAAGATACTATTATTGCTGCTTTACACATTACTAAACTAAGATCCTATTATGTGGTATATGCCCAATGGCAAATAACCACTATCTTTGATGTATATCAGCCTTGCTTCAATCTATGTTCACATATCACAGTGAACATTTAGTATTGAAACGGACTATCTCCCTTTACTTTGCAAACTGGACTCCATTAACCCTTGGGATGTCCCATAACTTGGCCAATTCACAATAAAGCCTTTATTGTAGGAATCCTAATGGAGTTATTTTACAGCCAGAGAAAGGCAGCTTTGCTTTAGCAATTACTCTGACTCTTATACTTTTGGTTCTAAGTCAGATCAGCATTGTGTGAAGCTTTTCACATTATCCAGACTATATCAGCATTTATAGGCGGTTTGTTTTGTCTTGAATGTGGATATTGTATTTTTCTTTTTGTAATAATAATATAATCAGGTACTCACTGAACATTGCTTCAAGTTTCACCAAACAGCAAACAAAGTTATCAAAATCGACTCCCAAATCATTATCGGCGTATCGAGCCACCAGAACCTGCATCAACTTATTGTTTAGCTTGAATCCTGGGGAGAGAACAAAAAGGGTAGGATTAGAAAGGTAGCCATGGGTGAGAGTGCCGGCAACTGTGGGAGAGAGTCAGGAGAGCGTGCCGACTGTAGCAGACTCATTCCCTTTCCGTTCGATTGTTTGTTTGTACCCCCTTGTTCTTTTCTCGAATGGATGGTGTGGTCCCCCTTTTATACCTCCCCAAACACCGACCCCCTCTGGCTGTTAACCGCAATTAAGAAATCGACTCTAATGTTGTTGCAATTAAGTAATCAACTCTAAGGCCTGGGTGGCCTCCATTCATAAAACCAAACACATGTGCTCCAGTGAATGGTGGCCATATTGTCTCCAGAACACAGGCAGCGGTACGCAGTCGAACATCTGGAACTATTTAAGGCCATGCGATCTCATGAACCCAGGCAAAGGATTGTACTGCTGCCCGTCCCACTTCCCGAACAGCAAGACGGACGACATTCGGGAGATAGAAACTGACTGGGGGAAGCATTTGTACCCTAAAAGCCAGGGGGAGCATTTGAAGGTTTTTGCACAGGAACCCCCGAAAGTTGACCGGCTGTTGCCCTAGTTTTTCTTGAACTGTTTTGGGACATCACCTCGTGGCCAGCTGGTCAGAACTTAACCAGATGCCTCTGCCACGTGTTCCTGGAGGGGCCGTCTGGCTAGCCTCCTGCCCAAAAGGCCATGGAAAATCCGAACCACTGAACCGATCAGAGTGATTTTTGGATATGATGGTCACTCAGATCAGGGCTATCCGGGATGTGACTCTTGAAGGGTTTCCATGGATTTTGGGGGTACTTTTGGGGTGTTGTGAAAGTGTGTTTTTCTGTGCCTGGAGATAATTGAGTTTGTACAGTTCCTGACTCAATTATCGCTCAGACACTGAGGAGGAGTATGTTGAGTGTATTGCTTGTCTGTGCCTCTCCCCCTCCCCCTGTTTCCTGTCCTATTGTTTCTCCAGCAGGGCGTTGTCCCAGGGACACTGCCAGATCAGTTTAGACTAGCTGCCCTGTCCCTCCTCAATCTGCCATCAGCCCTTGCTATTGTCTGACCCCACCCTTCCTTGTACTATAGTGCTCTATGCATCCAATTGTATGTAAATGAGGCTGTTGGTGGTTTAATGTGTGTATAAGTTGTGAGTATTTGCCTGCATCAAACAGAACTACTACCAGCACTAAGTCTCGCCTCATGTGTGCGGTGAGGGGGGGGAAGGGTGGGGGGGGAACAGCTATACTTCCTCTACCTGTTATACTCTCTGTAGGAGAGATCTACCCACCGGGTGCTGGATCAAGGGCTTGGGTCCAGAGTGGGCGAGACCCCATCCAAGATGCGGCGGCTAGGGGCTGGAAGTGCTTATGGTAGCTCGGTGATCACTAGGAAGAGTGTGTTTGGTGGAGGTACCCAGTCAGGGTACCAGGCGGTCCGCAACAATGGTGATTCCATTCTACCAAATGGATCTGAGCACTATTTGGACAACTTGGGCGCTCAGATCTTGGCTATTCGGGGATCTAAAACTTGTGGGGTTCCTGTGAATTATGAATATGTTTCTGGGGTGTTTTATGTATGTTTGTTTCCTGTAGTTTCTTGTAACTGAGAGATAATTGAGTTACTCCGTATAGACTCAATTGTCTCCCAGACACAGGGGCGCATAGGAGGGGCTTGTGCATATTTTGAATAGAGACCCCATGCTGGGGCCTCTATGCATAAAAGGCTGTGTCAGAGCTGAATCAATCAGTTGTTCTCCCAGAACTGTGTGTCGTCCAGTTACTAGGGCTGGATAGAGCTAGCTATTCACATTTCAGCGCCTTGTTCCAGAGTTCCTGTATTCACGGATCCAGCAGAGGAAGAGTCTTGGCCAGGACAAGCACTCCGCTACACCGACAGCCATGGGAGAGAGTCAGGAGAGCGTGCCGGCAGCCGTGGGAGAGAGTCAGGAGAGCGTGCCGGCAGCCATGGGAGAGAGCATGCCGGCAGCCATGGGAGAGAGTCAGGAGAGTGTGCCGGCAGCCGTGGGAGAGAGTCGGGAGAGATCATGCCAGCAGCCATGGGAGAAAGTCAGGAGAGTGTGTCGGCAGCCAAGGGAGACAGTCAGGAGAGTGTGTCGGCAGCCGTGGGAGATAGTCAGGAGAGAACATGTCGGCAGCATTGGGAGAGAGTCAGGAGAGTGTGTCGGCAGCATTGGGAGAGAGTCAGGAGAGTGTGTTGGCAGCATTGGGAGAGAGTCAGGAGAGTGTGTCAGCAGCATTGGGAGAGAGTCAGGAGAGTGTGTCAGCAGCATTGGGAGAGAGTCAGGAGAGTGTGTCAGCAGCATTGGGAGACAGTCAGGAGAGTGCAAGGGTGAGAGTGTAGTGAAAGAAGCCATTTTCACAGATTAAATATCATTCATTCACCTGCACTTTCCAGAGCGAGACGCAGCTCGTATGAACTCATTGTCCCGGATTTATCCATGTCTTGTTGCCGGAAGATTGTCTGTATGGAGGATAGAGAGTTATATACAGAACAGACGGACATTTGCGGAAAATTCCTTTACAGAGCCTCCAAGAACAGTGAACAAAATGTATTGAATGCTGCAGACTAAACAGGGAGACAAACTGCCATAGAATACAATAATGGGTCAGCGCTTCCAATAGATAGCATCAGGTCTGAGCGTTCTCCAAATGACTCCGTTTAATTAGTGCTACCCGCAATAACGTCTTGACTGGACATAAATATTCATCCAGGTTTCATGGAGTCAAGGAAACATTTTTTAACCCCTTAAGGACACAACTTCTGGAATAAAAGGGAATCATGACGGAATATTTCCGTCATGTGTCCTTAAGGGGTTAATCTAAAATCTCAAGATTAATGTTTTAGTATCAAACTCAGAATTTTTCATTTAACCCCAACAACCCATCATAATGAATCACTTTAAAGCTGCTAATTGGTTTAAATCAGTAATTTAGCTGCTGATTTGATGAGTCTAAGCACAATCACCACTGTCCATGCCGAGGATTCTCTCTGCAGCAATTAGTAAGTTCCACCAGCCACTCAGAGCACTTGGTTTCACGATACACATTACTCCGTCTTTAATAGATTGATTGCCTGCAGAACACCTCCGCTCTGCCAATGGTTACTTATAGAATCATAGAATGTGACGGCAGATAAGAATCATTCAGCCCATCTAGTCTGCCCAATTTTCTAAATACTTTCATTAGTCCCTGGCCTTATCTAATAGTTAGGATAGCCTTATGCCTATCCCATGCATGCTTAAACTCCTTTACTGTGTTAACCTCTACCACTTCAGCTGGAAGGCTATTCCATGCATCCACTACCCTCTCAGTAAAGTAATACTTCCTGATATTATTTTTAATCCTTTGTCCCTCTCATTTAAGACTATGTCCTCTTGTTGTGTTAGTTTTTCTTCTTTTAAATATGGTCTCCTCCTTTACTGTGTTTAACTCTTGATTTTCCTGGCAGAGACGGACTCCCATGTAACACTACATATTGGAAGAGTTAATAATCTGATCCAGGGCATCAATGTAGGATAAAACCAGAATACAGCGTGTTGATACGGCCGTTACAAATGAATTCCTTTAATAAACATTAATGGGTGGGGTGGGGTTCCAGTGATAACCTGTGACTGTTCGGACATCGATAGGTCCAGGATTTTATCGTAACCACCATAGGTAATGCAACGTTGCTGACTGCAGGGCGTTTATTTGAACAGGTGATTGATCAAAACACTGCAGGAGCCGCGACATAGGCCATCTGTCAGTCAGTGCCAACAAGTTCACATACAGGAGTCTCCGAGAGGGATTTACAGCTACGCACAAAGTCTAAAGAATTCATTTTTTGGGACACAAATGGCAAAAGGGATTTTATTTTGAAGTATCACATCTTCTCCCCCAACAATCCCAAACTACTGCATTGAGTTTTGTGTTTATTCTGAGCTCTTCCCACTGCGTCACTCACCAGCCAGCTGCGGATTTTATTCCACAGGATCTGAAATTCCACCACTCCTAGTTTGCCACTGCCATCTCTCTGTGAGGGCGAATTAAGGATCTAACCAACATCCGCCAAAACACCGACTGTGCCGAGAGGACGACATGTTCTGGCTAACCAGCGTGGAATACTCTGGGTGACAGGATGCGGGGGTTTGGAACATATCCCGGTTTTAGTCCAGTATTGTGTGGAAGCAAGACTGACTCGCTCTGTTCCGAATGGCTGCAACCAAAGGCTGAGCCTTTAAAACAGCTCCCCTTAATAAATAGAACACCCATGGCATTATATCACTGAGTGCCAGGGTACAGCACATATTGCATGCACACACCCTCCGCATCCTCTCCAGCAATCTTCACTGCCCCCCTATTACTGACAGTGCCCCCCGCATCCATTCACTGCCCCCCTTCTTACTGACATTGCCCCCCAGCATCCATTCACTGCCCCCCTTTTCTTACCGACATTGCCCCCCCTGCATCCTATCTTCACTGTCCCCTCTTCTTACTGACATTGCCCCCCGCATCCATTCACTGCCCCGTCTTACTGATATTGCCCCCCACATCCAATCTTCACTGCCCCCCCTCTTCTTATGGACATTGCCCCCTTCCACCAGTGTTGAATGCTGCCCTCTACCGCCCCCCTGCGTCTGCCAGCCAGCACCCCAGAAAGGATACATCCATTAAGTTGACCATTTGGCGGCATGACTCCATGCTGAAACCATCTGTTTTCAGATCTTTATCTGAGGAAAATGGGACAAGAATATCCAATGTGAGACATATGCGGGTATTTTAACATCTCTCGCTGTCCATTTAACAGATCGTAAATGGTTTTATCCATAAAGTCCTCTCTCAGGTCTGTCTTTCCCATTTTAATTTGGAATAACTTGTGGGATTCTCTGCCTAACTTAATGTTACAATGTTGGAATCTGAGATCTGTACATTCCACAACCCACACCATGTTCTAAGCCCCCGTGGCACTATGTGGGTGGGATGTGTGGCACAGATATCACCCCGGTCTTGCTCTGTATCCCCTTGGCATTTCGTGGTGAGATCGGTAATACGTATTCCCCACACACACAGTGCCACGGGGATACACAGCATGACCGTGGTGAGATCTGTGATACGTATCCCCCACACACAGTCATGCTGTGTGTGGGATGTGTGGCACAGATCTCTCCCCAGTCTTTCTCTGTGTACTGCAGAGAGATGCATGTAAGTGGATGGCCTCCATGTGGTGGTGTGATCAGAATTCCTAAATATAGCCTTGAGTTGGGAGAATTGGTCCAGTTTGTCCCTTCAAATTTGTGGGGCAACATATATACTTACGTCTGCTCACCACTCTGTTGAGGATGGTCTTCAGTTCGAAGACACTGATCTCCATATCCTGGAAAGGCACAGAACGCTATGAGTTAATACTTGTCACAGGCACAACCACGTACCATAAAGCAGGGTTCTGTCAACACATCTTGTTTGCATGGCTCATGACACGGATTCTAACAAAGTTAATTTTGGTGGCAAATTTCAATTTAGCTTTATTCAGTCTTTTAGTTTTAGTCATATTTTAGTTTCAGTTGATTAAATCGACCCGACTAAAATCTAATGGGTTTAATTAAAGCCTCTGTTTCTTTTGCTCCTTCCACAGCTCCTCTGTGTCTCTTCCCTCCAGTACCTTGTCTCTTTCTCCCCCAACCCAGCCCCTCTATGCATCTCATCTCCCACACAACCCAGTCCCCAGTGTGTCTCAATTCCCCCAGTGTGTCTCAATTCCCCCAGTCCCCCCAGTGTGTCTCAATTCCCCCAGTGTGTCTCAATTCCCCCAGTCCCCCCAGTCCCCCTCAATTCCCCAGTGTGTCTCAATTCCCCCAGTCCCCTCGTGTGTCTCAATTCCCCCAGTCCCCCCATGTGTCTCAATTCCCCAGTCCCCCATGTGTCTCATTTCCCCAGTCCCCATGTGTCTCATTTCCCCAGTCCCCATGTGTCTCATTTCCCCAGTCCCCCTCTCATTTCCCCGTGTCTCTCATTTCCCCAGTCCCCCGTGTCTCTCATTTCCCCAGTCCCCGTGTCTCTCATTTCCCCAGTCCCCGTGTCTCTCATTTCCCCCAGTGTCTCTCATTTCCCCCAGTTCCCCCAGTGTCTCTCATTTCCCCCAGTTCCCCCAGTGTCTCTCATTTCCCCCAGTTCCCCAGTGTGTCTTACCTGCCAGTGTTAATTTTGGTGGCAAATTTAAATTTAGTTGTAGTCAGTCTTTTGACTAAAGAGCAATTTTAGTTTTAGTTGTAATTTAGCCATGTGAATGGTTTTATTCTAGTTGTAGTCGACTAAATCTTTACAAAATTAACACTGGATTCTAGCTACGGACATTCCTGGAAAACCCATTAAAGCATCTGATATCAGCGTTTATACCCCACACCTGCCCTCGTCGGCTCCATATAGATAAGCCAACATTACCAATAAATAGTGATACAGACCCTGCGTCAGGCGTAATAAACTGATATGTGATCAGATTAGGGATTACTCAGATCGGTAGCTCATCACTTGCAGTCAGAATTCTATATTTGTGGAGATGACTTAAAAGACGTATTGAATCGCCAACTCACATCTCCTGCCAACTGCTGGAACATGTTCTTAAAGGAGTCTTCAACGTCATCTTCCGTCAGGTGCTCCTGGGAAAAGAAATATCACACAGGCAGTCAATGGCGGTGAACCTGCACCAAATCGGACGTATATCATCCAGTTTATTACTGGAAGGCTATCGTTTGGGAAACTGGTTTATCCGGACTCTTTACTCTTTACTCTTGTTTTATGTCAGGATTTTGTACCCAGAATAAGTTACTGGACATAATGTGCCACAAGTACCACAGGAGAGGACCTCCATTCTGTCTGCATTTAATATGGTTCATTGACTGTGGCTGTTAGTCTGGCTCCTCCACCCCCTCGGTGGAGGGGCCATTCCATGCATTCACGGAACATCTCAATTCCACTCACTTCTCCATCTGACAGCTTTCTCTGAAATATTAAATACCCTTTACATGTCTCTTTCAGTCTTGACAGATTTGTGAATAGTTCTTACAATGCCAATCTTGCCCCTTGGTAAGAATGTTTACATTTTTTTTTTTTTTTAATATTTTTCAGCTTTTAGATCAATTTTTTTCAGAAAGCTGAATGGATAGAAGTGCAATATCTGCACAGTATTATTAGAAAATTATAAATAATTGTGAAAATAAATGTAAAATATTCAGAAAAGGATAGGTGCTCTTCAGGTCCATGTCTTCAGTACCAGTAATTGAGCTCAGGGCTGACGTTAGGGCCGAAGTTATACAAATAGACCATTATTGCCCCAATGTGTACCGTACCTCATCCGCCAGGTCTGCAGACACCTCTTCATCTAGCTCCCTGTAAAGACAAAACGCAGAGTATCCGTACCATCACAACATTGAAAAAGTACATCACATGATCGATGCAATGGGGAGCGGGAGGGGGGCAGCTTATAAAGGAAGTTTATGGTTACAAAATAAGAAATAAAACAACATTACAAGTCATTAGCATGACCTGCTTGTGTTACACATATATCACAATAATATCTGTGAGTTGGAGAGGACGGCCCCACGTCAGGTTACACTACGAATAAATGGTCATTCCCAGGATTGGGGGAGGGGGGCAGTAAATTCATGGCCATGTTTGAATGAAATATTAATTATTATTAAAAGGGACATATGAAGCACCACAACATGTTATTGACGTGTTCCTTTACACTCCCCTCCACCACGTTACTCACTCAACGTCCGATTGCTTCTCTGTGAAGACTCGCAGCACAAAGTCCCCTTCCTTGTGGGCTTCGAACGTGGACGGGACGATGAGGTATTCTCCAGGGGGCAGACGGATGTGGTTGCTCACCTCGCGCAGGTTGATGAAGGTTTCAGAGCGAGCACAGGACTGGTGTCGTAGGAAGAAATCCTTCTTCAGGTGAACATTCTGGCATCCTTTAAACTGAGCACAGAGAATGTTTAGGGAGAAATGTTATCACGGGGCTGGTAGCCAAGCTGGCTTGGGTCTATCGCCAGATCAGACACTCAGCGAGAACATTTAGATTTGAGGTATCACGTGCCTACAATACCCGGTTTAGTAAATAAACAGGTTTAATATAATGTAATAATGGCCACAGGTTATCAGATGTGAGTCTCTGGTTTATTTAGGACGCCGTACATGACAGAAATGATCAATAAGAGAGTGGCCATTATTACGACCTGGAAACGAATTAATGCGGTTATTTCTGCTTATTAATTAATTGTGTTACTTTCACAAATAGATGAAATGAAGGAATGGAAAAAGTTACACAGAGACAAAAGATAGACACAGACCGAGAGACAGGTGAACACACACAAACAGAGACATAGACAGACATAGCTTTATGGACAATATATGGAAGAATATGGGCGGATAATGCCAAAAATAGATATATATGTATATTTATAGTTAACATGAGACATTTGTCCTTGTTGATGTTCTGGACTCCTCCCTGTCCACCATTTGTGCCAATATTTCACATTCAAGTTGAAATCCGTACCTCATCGGGGACCTGCGGGGAACAGCAGATATTCAGATACAAGCACATAGATAAAAACCTTAACATACACAGCCTGGCTAAAACTCCCATCACTCTGAGCTCCTCCCCTGTCCAGTTCAGTTACAGAAACTGCATTTCATAACAACGGAGCCATCTTAAAGCTGCATTATTACATAGCGATACTCTAACGCAATAGAAAATGACAAGCCTTGCCCTGATCCATGTTATAGGATGCTTCCCAGAATTGTAAACATTAGGTTTACATATAATTAGTGTGTATTTGTGAGGTGTGAAAAATAAAATTAAATGTAAAATCCACATCTTTGTATCCAGTAACTGGGCGCCTCCATCTTAGCTCCGGGCCAATCATTGTTATAAGCTCCTCCCTCTGCACCTGGCAGTCGGTACAGAGAGAGCGAGAAATTAAACAAGGTTACTATTTCTTCTCTTCATTAGCATTGTGTGCCCTGGCTGTGCCTCGTCTGAACTGGACTGTGATGTCATTTGCTGAATCTTTAATATAAATATAAAACAAATGTAAAAAATAGATATACATGTTCTAGGTGATTTCCAACATTTTCACCGTTCCTCTTTAAATAAATCAACATGGATTTGCTTCCTAAGAGCACTTTTACATGAATTAATTTAACGTCAGTCTCTGCCAGATGAAACCGGATACAGACCATGTGTTTACCATGATTGACAAGTAATTAATCAATATGCACTCTAATATTCACGTAGACCCGCCTTTATTCCCTTTCCCGGCTCTCCTGGATCTCCCAACATCTCATTTATAACCTGTTTATCAGACAGACTCCACTGGCCACTAGCCTACCGCTGTGTGCAGGTCCATGTTAATGTGGGCATATTGGTGGTGTCATCAACCCTACTGATCCCATGGTGGAAGGTGTCCTTTTCCCCTAATCCTTGATTTATCTTAGCTCTCCTACCTCATACACAGCAAAGCCAATCGTGTGCATGTCACCCCCCACTTTGCGTTCCCTCCTCCGGTTCTTCTGCATGAGGGCCACAAGGAAGCTGCAGGCCAGCTCATTGTCATCAGGATCGTCGTCTTCCTCCTGTAACGTGATCTTAAACTGAGGGTTGATCCAGAAGGTGGCTGCGGAGAGACATTGGTTGAAGAACTTGGCATGTGATTGGATTTCTCCATGATCATCAAATACTCTCCAATGACCACTTGCTTGTCCTTTAGGTCTCACTACTAAATGTCCCTCTCACCTGCGTTATTTCTGCACCCTCCAGCCGTGCTGCCTCGGCGCCAGCTTCCATCGTACAGCGTTGTGTGCCACTTGCTGAGTCCATCTTTGCTGAGAGCATCTGGCGTGAGATTACAGATCTCCAGCCGGGAGAACTGGCGCAGGAATTCTTGGAAAGACATCCTGGAAGAGGCAGAAAATCCAGGATTAAACCCACAGTCAGCAGAGGAAGCCAGAAACAGTCGGTGCGTGAGGGATAACATCACACATCTCTCACCAGAACTCTCCATCCTCCATCTTCAGGCGCAGATCTTCAGTCTCTGAAGGGTCCACCTCGTTCCACTCAGAGGAACTGTGAAGGATGGAACAATGACTTCAGGTTGACTCACTTCAGACGCCCCCAGTGACAACCTCCATCACCCAGTCTGTCACAGTGAGAGCCCCATGGCCCAGTCTCTGTCACAGTGCCCTCCCCCCCATGGCCCAGTCTCTGTCACAGTGCCCTCCCCCCCATGGCCCAGTCTCTGTCACAGTGCCCTCCCCCCCATGGCCCAGTCTCTGTCACAGTGCCCTTCCCATCGCCCAGTCTCTGTCACAGTGCCCCCCCCATGGCCCAGTCTCTGTCACAGTGCCCTCCCCATCGCCCAGTCTCAGTGCCCTCCCCATCGCCCAGTCTCAGTGCCCTCCCCATCGCCCAATCTCAGTCACAGTGCCCTCCCCATCACCCAATCTCAGTCACAGTGCCCTCCCCATCACCCAGTCTCTGTCACAGTGCCCTCCCCATCACCCAGTCTCTGTCACAGTGCCCTCCCCATCACCCAATCTCAGTCACAGTGCCCTCCCCATCACCCAGTCTGTCACAGTGCCCTCCCCATCGCCCAGTCTGTCACAGTGCCCTCCCCATCGCCCAGTCTCTGTCACAGTGCCCACTCATTTCAGTAATGCCCCATTTAGATTCTGACATACTTATCGCTCCAGGCTCCGGTCCATTCCACTTGTCCCCAGGGATTTCTGATTCGGATGAGTTTCTCCACCTGGCCCCTGTAATTTACCTGCCAATAGAAAATGTACATTACATTAGACATGGCTCTACATGCAGTACAGCATGTATAAAGTCATATTCATAGACTGGCAAGTCTGGTAGTTTCTTCAAACCTGCCGGGTTCTCTGTTTTTTATTCCATTAGGATGGGACCAGAATGATAAGCATTTGGTGTGGGTACCCTCTATGATGGCAGAAGTGAGCTCTTACTGCCCACATCTCCTGCCTACTCCCCCCTGTCACTCCCAGTGTACCTACCAGGTGTCTTACTAATAATGTATTCAACTAAAATGTAATTTATAACAAGAACAATGTATCTTATTTACACAGACTGATTTCTAAACACAGATAGGATATGGCATATATTGCGCCCAAAATCATATGTACATACGACTACAGAAAGGGGAGGCTGTTAAACACCTCAGGATAATAAAACAAGAGAAACAATAATAGTGCAGTACAATTTCACATAGTGCGAGATATTAGCTAGGTGACTGTAGGAGAACCACTCACATTTGATAGAGCTATATAAGAGCTCTGCTGTATTGCGCATGGACGGTATGATCCCTGTCTAAGGATGTAGGATGATATGGATGGTACTGGTCCCCCAAATGCGAGTGCAGATATTGATGATAAATATAAGAGAAAAATGATAGTATAGTAAGTACTGTAAACTGGGGTTTAAGAAAAAGTAATGTACTTACAATTTTTAGAGCAAGGCCTGCTCTAGTTTTCACAGCATGGGTGGTATTATCCCCACCTAAGGATATGATGGTACCAGGTAGCAAAGAGGATACAAAGTAAGATACAAAATAGTTAAAAGTATAAAAATTGACTATTTATTATAAAAACATATATAACATAAAATATATAGGTACAAATTAATGTCCAAAAAATGTCCCACTTGACGCGTTTCGCCTCTCCAGAGGCTTTATCACACTTTTGATAAAGCCTCTGGAGAGGCAAAATGTGTCAGGTGGGACTTTTTTTGACATTTATTTGTACCTATATATCAAAAGTGTGATAAAGCCTCTGGAGAGGCGAAACGCGTCAAATGGGACTTTTTTGGACATTTATTTGTACCTATATATTTTTTATGTTATATATGTTTTTATAATAAATAGTCAAATTTTTATACTTTTAACTATTTTGTATCTTACTTTGTATCCTCTTTGCTACCTGGTACCATCATATCCTTAGGTGGGGATAATACCACCCATGCTGTGAAAACTAGAGCAGGCCTTGCTCTAAAAATTGTAAGTACATTACTTTTTCTTAAATCCCAGTTTACAGTACTTACTATACTATCAGAGATTTTTCTCTTATATTTATCATCAATATCTGCACTCGCATTTGGAGGACCAGTACCATCCATATCATCCTACATCCTTAGACAGGGATCATACCGTCCACGCGCAATACAGCAGAGCTCTTATATAGCTCTATCAAATGTGAGTGGTTCTCCTACAGTCACCTAGCTAATATCTCGCACTATGTGAAATTGTACTGCACTATTATTGTTTCTCTTGTTTTATTATCCTGAGGTGTTTAACAGCCTCCCCTTTCTGCAGTCGTATGTACATATGATTTTGGGCGCAATATATGCCATATCCTATCTTTGTTTCACTATTACATAAGGTTTTGGGAATCCTTGTACTGTATACAGCAGCCCTCACTTATTTGTTATATTATAGAGAGCGCCTATAAACTCTTGTTTTCTCTTGATTTCTAAACACATTTATTGTAGTTTAAAGACACATTATTGGGAGTATTGTTGCTGTGGAGCTCTGTTATACACTCAGACACATTAATGGGAGTGTTATTGCTGTGGAGCTCTGTTATACACTCAGACACATTACTGGGAGTATTATTGCTGTGGAGCTCTGTTTTACATTCAGACACATTACTGGGAGTATTATTTCTGTGGAGCTCTGTAATACATTTAGACACATTACTGGGAGTATTGTTGCTGTGGAGCTCTGTTATACACTCAAGACACAGAAATAATATGGAGCTCCTAGAAAAGACGGACATTAGGAGAGAAATTAGGGACGGTCCCTCTAACTCGGGACATTTGAGAGTTATGATATATATTGTGTATTTAATATTAAAATACCAAATTAGCCAAGCTGTAAATACGAGTTGATTTGGCCTGAATTTTGCAACTTCCTTCATCATAATTAATTATTCAGTAATTAACTCTTGCATGTTGTCAGTGACTAATGTATATTTGTTATAAGGCTGTAGAATGTACAATTCTTATGAAGAAATAATTCTGCATTATGTGCAATCTACGTTCTGCCGCATACGTGTCCAGTAAATCACAGAGAATCACGCTACCTGCCCAGCATTGTGGAAGGAAGGAATGGGTTTTCCCAATAACAGAGGGTGCAGAACACGACAATCCATTAGAATACCTGCTATAACATCACTCCGATTTAACCACTTCCGTCAATGTTTAATCAAACCATAGCAAGCTTTTCTGTTTGGGGTTTTCCTCCAGTGAAGATTAGAATATCAGATTTCCCAAGCCATTGTGATAAAGACTATTCTGGGGTCTCCCTGGGGTACCCACCTCCTTGAGACCTGTTAGAGAGTACGCATGACCCTTCACCAGCTTCTTGAAGGTCACCGCTTCCATGTCGAAGGCACTAGTTATCTGGAATTAATGGAGGAAAAAGAAAAATGGAGTGAATTGGGAAGAAACTCCGGGAAAGATGGAGAGAATGAATGAGGCAGAGCAAGGTCAAGAATATGAACAAAGGAAAACATTAAGAATCAAACAAAGCTATAAATATTGCCTGGTGAAGGACTCCACCCAATCCTGATGGAGACACAAAGATGGTAATGACACCATCAAAAACTAGATGTGTGCAATGCTATGGATTATAGGTGTAAAGTCACTTTGTTGGAGCTTTGTTAAAACAAAATGGTTGCAATGCTTACATCTATAGAGCAGCCCATCAGCGATCCTCTGTCCAGTGCTCTTCGGATGATTTTGTCAAGGTCCCGAGGAGCTTTCTTTAAATCATACATTTCGGACACCCCTCCAGTGAAGTCCTCAAATCCTTCAGTGGTGCTCCCCCCAGACAGGGCTTCGTAGGACCCATTTAGCCTGTATGCGACAGAATGTGCTCAAAACATCAGCTTTTATAGATTGAATTTGGTAATGGACTACACAACTCGTGTCCTTTACAATATCTATAAGAGATTGTTGGTGCATCCAGGGTATATTAAAAGGCACCAAAACAACGTTAGCCTAATGAAGTAGTTTTGGTGTTAGACCATGCCCCTGCAGTCTCACTGCTCAATTCTCTGCCATTTATGTGTAGTCACTTTGTTTATGCAGCCTTAGCCACACCTCCCTGCATGTGACTTGCACAGCCTTCCTAAACACTTCCTGTAAAGAGAGATCTAATGTTTACACGTCCTTCATTGCATAGTCTGTTTAATTGAGTATTTCTTATCTCCTGCTCTGTTAATGCCTGTTCCAGAGCATGAGATGCAAACTCCTAAAGCAAGTATTGAAAATTAATCCATATTATTTATCATTCAGGCTGTGTGGGTCACAGCCAGGGGAGGTGTGACTAAGGCTGTAGAAACAGAAACAAAAGAGATTTAACTCCTAAATGGCGGTGGATTGAGCAGTGAGACTGCAGGGGCATGTTCTATACACCAAAACTGCTTCATTAAGCTAAAGTTGCGTTGGTGGTGTTGTTTGGTGTCTCTTTAAAGGTTTTACTAATAAAGGACAACAAGTATTAAACTATTCAAAACTCACCCAACAATGCGATCAGTATGGAATAAACATGGAAGCCACCATTAATGTCCCAACCCCACCAAACCGCCATGCACAGCACTTCACAGGATCAGGTGGTACTCACTTGGCATATGCCTTCTCCAGAAGGGCACTCCAGAACTCCGTACACTCAGCGGAGTGAACAAAGACCAACTCACCATCCTTTACTGGCAACCGGTCATCAACTACCACATCGACCCACTCCCCAAACTGCCAGATCTGTGGGAAGGGTGAGAAGAACCGTGATGAAGCAGGTGAACAGGACTTGGAAATATGGCGGATATAACTCCAGTACACACCTGGAAATGGAAGATGCCTGCATAGTTGTCCTGGAAGCTCTGCCCGTGGGGTACCACCCTATGTAACAGCTCCTCATTCAGAGTCAGTGAAGCAATGGCTGCCAGGAGCCAACAATCACCTGTGACACACCAGCAAAGTGCGTCATAATTATTATTTATAGAGAGGCAGCTTTCTACACAGCGCTGTGCATATCGACAGCAATTTAGGGAATAAATATTGTACAAAATTAGACAAAGTGGTAGAAAAGGAAAGGGGACCCCTGCTGTGAGCCTTAAATCTTACATGCAAAGAGAGTGCTTGAGACAGGAATGGGTACACGCACACAGGGACACACAACACCATCCAGGAGCATACACCTGGCAGGTGTGGTACTCCTACTTGGGATTAATCTGTTTCATGAAGCAGTTCTAGAACATACACCTAAAAATCTGCAGCACATAACACACACACGGACGTGCATCCCACACACCATTTTGTTTCTGTGTGAGTCTGGGAGGATGGGTTCTCCAAAACCAGACAACAAGATATTATTGCACCAAACAGGGGAAAAACTGCATCTGGTTCCAAAGACAGACTGTTGTACAACAGACAAAGCCGTAAACAGTCCTTTTTATGTCAGACCCTTCAGGGTCCAAAGTATAGTCTTTTTTAAGATACAATCTGAGCATCAATATATCTTTAATTCACAATAATCTTTACACAAAATTAAATTAATAGCTTACAGAATGCTGTACCATAAGCCTTTAGTTTCACCCCCTCACTACAGAAAGGCTTCCCTATCAGTGTACGTACACAGGTCAGCTACGAACAGCACAGACTGAGCACAGAGGCATTGGCTGTTCCTTGGTTATTTCTTGAGACCAGGATATCTGATGGCTTTCTTAACATGACAGGAGGTTCAGAGTAAAACAAGACCTGTGTTGTATCGGAGAGGGACTTACTAAATACATCACTGAAGGAAACCATGGCCACTAAAGGTGTCTTATAAGTCTTGACAGGCAGTGATGACGGGCACCATGATAAATTAAGAAGACTCACCAAGGGCCCCCTGGCAGATATCCGTTCTGGTGGCACCACCAACAATGAACTGTGGATCTCCAGCTATGTCCTGAAAATTGGAGAATGATACCTTAATATGTAATTACTAGGTTAGGACAACCTTTCCCCAATTATCAGACATTTTAAAAACTAAGACAAATGGCCTATCACCTATCCAATATTATTTACCCTCCAAGACTTCAAGCGCCCCATATCCTAATAGGTACCCCTGACTTCATTACATTCCCCCACCAAAATCTAGGTACCCCCCAATCCCATTAAATCTCATACCAACTCCAGGTAATATTTTATTATTTTTATAGCGCTGTACAATGGGGTATCCCAATTTTATTCTATCCCCCTAACAACAGACACCAATAATCCCATTAAAATGACAGTCCATGTATTACTCACTGATGGTCGCTTCCATCGCACGCCTTGCACTTTGCTCGAGCCGGGGCCAAGCTCCTTAAAGCCAAGGGTGGAAATGACTGCTGGAAAGTGAGGGTCTTCAAAGAGTGTGCCATTCTCCAAGCACTGTTGTTTCAGGCTCTCGTAATCCTGGTTAAGGTATTTTACAGCGCAGTCATGGGACCCAACACCAGACGCCTTCAGACGTTCGATCTTCAGTTTGGATGCAATGCCACCAAACGGCATCATACCGTCTACCAAGAAAAAGGAGACCTAGTTCAAAATGCGTAATAACACCTGGCAAGGTGTTTATTGGATGATAGAAAGTCTGTTCATAGCCCATACACATTAATTAACAGATCTAATCCAGTGTTCCCCAACCCAGTCCTCAGGGACCACCAACAGCCCAGGTTTTGTCAGTATCTCCATAAATATATATAAAACAAGGAAATACAGAAATCCTGGACTGTTGGTGTTCCCTGTGGTTGGGGAATACTGATCTAAACCAAGTAATACCTCCGTACCCCATCAAATCAACTGCAGAGAGAAAGAGGAGAACCAGGTCAACATGTATGACAATAGCATAGAACAATATGGGGCAGTGAAGGTGGGAGAGGGGGTCATTGGATAACACCGATATTGACTGAGAAACACCATACACTGTGAGCAAACCATACAGATTAACCCCCTGTTCAGGTAAGGCAGTAGGATGGTTTATTAATGGGGGCTTGCTCTCCACCAGGCCCTGTAATGGCAGTAGGATGGTTTATTAATGGGGGCTTGCTCTCCGCCAGGCCCTGTAATGGCAGTAGGATGGTTTATTAATGGGGGCTCGTTCTCCGCTAGACCCTATAATGGCAGTAGGATGGTTTATCAATGGGGGCTCGTTCTCCGCCAGGCCTTGTAATGGCAGTACGATGGTTTATTAATGGGGGCTCGTTCTCCGCCAGGCCTTGTAATGGCAGTAGGATGGTTTATTAATGGGGGCTCACTCTCCGCTAGGCCCTGTAACTGCAGTAGGATGGTTTATTAATGGGGGCTTGCTCTCCGCCAGGCCCTGTAGTGGCAGTAGGTTTATTGGTTTTATTTTTTTATTTTTTTTATGGGGGCTTGCTTACTGCCTGGCCCTTCAATGTGTAATGATGGCTTCCCTGATGGCCAATGTAATGGCAATGTGTAGCTGGATTGTTCATGGACAGCAGTGAGCAACATATACAGCTGTAATCACAATTATTCAACCCCCATTGAAAATCAGGTTTATTGTCAAACTTTACAGACTTTCAGCTGTTTGCAATAAAAAAAGCAGTTGAAAATAGCTCAACACAATGAATGTTACAAGTAGTTTCCCCAAATGCAACTGAAAATGCAAATTTATAATGACCTCTCCAGTCTCAAAATTATTCAACCCCCTGACTGGAATCCCTAACAACAGCACAAATGTGCAAAACAGATGTTGCCTCAAGTACACCTGATATAACTAACCAAGGCATTTATTAGTTGCACCAGGTGTGCTTGAGCTGGAACACTTGAAATACCTGGACTTGTTAGAGGTTTGTTGAGTGTCACATTTTACTGCATGTTAGAAATATGGCTAAGTCAAAAGAATGGTCCACAAAGTTAAGAGAAGAGATCCTTGACCTTCACAAAAAAGGATCAGGATACAAAACAATAGCGCTGAATATTACTATAGACCATTGGAAGTATCGTTTGCAAGTAGGGGAACAGTGGTTACTAGTGATGTCCCGAACGGTTCGCCCTGGACGGCGAACATAAACATAAACTTTGACCCTGTACCTCACAGTCAGCAGGCACATTCCAGCCAATCAGCAGCAAACCCTCCCTCCCAGGCCCTCCCACCTCCTGGACAGCTCACTAAGAATGCAGCTTCACAATGAATGTAAAATGGATGCTGTCCAGGAGGTGGGAGGGTCTGCTGCTGATTGGCTGGAATGTGTCTGCTGACTGTGAGGTACAGGGTCAAAGTTTATGTTTATGTTCGCGGCGAACCGTTCGGGACCTCGCTAGTGGTTACACTACCTGGACGAGGCAGAAAAAGAAAGCCATCAATGGATGCAACCAGATTGCAGAGAAGGCAGGTTGTGAAGAACCCTCAACTGACTGCATAACACCTGCAGCAAGACTTGGTAGCAACAGTCACTGAGATCAGTAAAGCGAGTACTAAATGCAGAAGGCTTCTATGCCAGAGCTCCAAGGTATACACCACTGCTGACCCAAAAGCACAAGAAAAGTTGGCTCCAATAGGCTTGAAATCATATAAATAAGCCACAGAAGTTTGAGTATTCTGTTCTGTAGAGAGATGAAACAAAACTGGACCTTTTCGGCCCAATGGATCAATGGTATGTCTGGAGGAAGAAGAATGAACACTCTGCCTACAGTTAAGCATGGTGGTGTCTCGGTGATGCTCTGGAGCTGCTTTGCTCCCTCTGGCACAGGAAACCTGCAGCATGTGGAAGGCAATATGGAATCATTAAAGTACCAGGAAATGCTAGGAGAAAATGTCAAGGTACCCTTGATAAAGGCAGCCAGTTGGTGCCGAAATGTTGGGGGGTTTGGTGACTCGTGTTTCTGTCTTGAGGCTTGTAAGAATTTTTGTGGTAAATTTATTATTGTTTTATTGTGTTTGCCCTTGCTTCTGTCACTTTGTTTATCTTTTCTTATAGGTTTTCACTCTGGTACTTTTTTGTACGTAATAAAGCTAAGTTTTTTTTGAGATTGTTATAGTGTGCATTCTATATTCTATATACAGGAGAAAATGTCATGTCATCTGTGAGGAACCTGAAGCTTGGGCATCATTGGACCTTCCAACAAGACAGTGATCCCAAACATGTCTCAAATTCCACCAAGACTTGGTTGCAGAAGAAGTCCTGGAAAATTCTACAGTGGCCATCACAGTCACATGACTGGAACCCCATAGAAAATCTCTGGTGGAATTAGAAGGAGGTTGCAGCACACAACCCCCAAACTATTACTGAACTGGAGGCCATTGCTCATGAACAATGGGCCAAGATCCCTCAGGAACGCTGCCAGAAGCTGGTGTCTGGCTATGCATCTCGTGTGCAGCAGGTCATAACAGGAAAAGAGAGCTCTGCTATGTACTAAAGATGCCTGCCATGGAGGGGTTACATCCTTTTGAGAGTGGAGAAGTAAAAAGTAGCATTTTCAGTAGAATTTGAGGAAGCCACTTGAAGCATTCGCTGTGTTGAGCTATTTCCATCGCTTTAGTTTGATTAGTTCATTGTAAACAGCTGAGAGTCTGTACATTGTGACAATAAACCTGGGGGTTAAATAATCGTGATTACAACTGTATTAATTTAATAAGCTACGGGCAAGCCTTTCTCCAAACAATGACACGGCATCCGGACACAGATTACTTTCCTCTCCCAGAATGACCACAAAATGTTCCATTCCTCAACCCATTAGATAATGGCATTAATTAAATCACAGACAGGGACTGAAACTCCCATGATCCACAGCCAAGTGAGAGAGCCCACGTTAAGGAGAATCTTGTCTCATGGAGCTAGCGAAAGGAAACGGGCTGGAGTACATGTTATACTGTGGCAAAGGAGTGCTTTACTTTCTAATTCTAATGAGACCCTTTAATAATATTACACTGTATTATTTCATTTTACTTTCTGCTCCGTTCTGTTACACTGTTTGAAAGAGGGGGATTTTATAGAAGACAAGATAAGATAGGGGGCTGGAGGGTCAAGTGCAGCTAAATATTGGGTACCAATACTCTGGAAATGGGCGTTCAATTTACAGACGTTCTATTTTATACTATGATATGTGTGTTTCTGTAACAAAATGCTGGTTTTGATATTTTATTAGTTTAATCCCTTGTACAGCGTGTACAGTTTCTGCACATCTCTCGGGATATAAATCCACAGCCAGTCGCGGGGGTACCGCCAGCTTTTATTTTATTCCGTACAGGACAGGCCGAACTGTAACATCCTCTAATACAATGGTTCCATTTTGTTCTGGCGATAATTCTGTTATACGAGCGCAGACACCAAGCCAGGCATTTACCAAACTGCTCGATTCTAAAAGTACTAAAAATGGGGCAGTCACCATGGAAACCAGTGTAATCTGCCGCCCATTCCAATGGGGACTTCTCCTCGTTTGTTTTTTTCCAGCACAATTTAGAGCAGACACTTTGCTAAATCTCTCCCTGAGTGATCAGCAATCACAGCCCTTTACCCAGCTTTTTTACAATGAACTCCCAGTGAGTCGCGCTGACTTTCATACATACAGGGGAGGGGATCAGCAACACGGAGCCTGGATCATGCGTGTTTCACAGGCCATGCCGTGCGAGACAGGGGAAACCAGATACCAACACAAAACACATTTACTTCCTTTAGATATTGTGTGATAATCTGCCGATAGCAGCACTGTGCGATAATCTGCAGGCAGGGTTTGCTCTGCATACATACACTGAGCTGGGTTCCATATAGCTCAGCTATTTTGCACTATGATAGGGACCGTTGTCCAGTAAAAGCTTGCAATGTGGGGGCACAGAGAGTGTACGGCAGTTGCTGGGTCCGGTCTGAGTGCCGTTGACTCAGTGCTATGAATAGAGCTGTCCGTTACCCAGAATACCACGCTGGGGCTGTGTAGTGATTCTGCTCCCTTTAGAATAGCCTTCGCCACCTAATATGGAGTGTGAGGAGGAGGGGGGCAAGCTGGAGGAACACTGCAAATATTTACATTATTACAGATATTAAACATCAGCGCGACACGCTCAGCACACACTCACATCACACAGAAATATAGACATCTGTGTCCCCCGGGGCCAAATACAACAAACTACTGGGAACCAGCATCTTGCCCACATTTACACAGGAAAAAGTTCTAAACTGCACCGAGTCAGGGAATCTGGGCCTTCCAGAAAATCTGCCCCAGATAACCTACTCCTTCAACCAAACGAATCTGCCCCAGATAATCTACCTCTCAACCATGAGAAATCTGCCCCAGATAATCTACCTCTCAACCATGAGAAATCTGCCCCAGATAATCTACCTCTCAACCATGAGAAACCTTCCCCAGATAATCTACCTCTCAACCATGAGAAACCTTCCCCAGATAATCTACCTCTCCCCCATGATAAGTCTGCCCCAGATAATCTACCTCTCACTCCGAGGAATCTGCCACCATGATTTAACGGGTCTGTTTAGGTTAGTGGCAGGTTATGGGTGGGTATGGCTCTGGATGTGAGGTCTCATTTCCTCATAGTACCTCAGCTCTGAACAAAGTTTAGAGGCTACTCCATTCCTATCAGTAGCAAGACTTTGCAGTGGTCATTACATAGGTCTATGAACATTTGACAATACCATGTACCATTAACGGATTCCTTTTGTGTGGCCACCATGGCAACCATTAACACAAATTAGTGTAATTGCACCATCTATGGGTGCATCCGTCAGGACTGGAGCTGTAGTAGAAGTGGGCTTATTTAGGGTAGGCCTATTTCCCTCCCACACGTCCCAGGCTTCTTTCCAAAAATTATTTGGTGCCCTCGTAGATCTGGCCATGATTTCATAGTGTTTGGTAGTGATAACCATCTGAGAGCATGTTCCCACGTGTGGGCCATTTGTCCGCAACCAGGATTTGCTTATGGCAAAGAGGGCTGCTATGAGAATACGATATATTAAATATTGTGCAAATTTTGGCAGTGTTTTTGGAATGAGGAGTAGTAGGTATATTTTTGGTTCCTTTAAGAGATCAATACCAGTAATCTGGTGTATGATGGCATGAATGTCTGCCCAGAACTTGTCTAGCTTGGGGCAAGTCCACCACATATGGAGCATGGTCCCTGGGGACACACAGCATCTGGAATCTGTTTTAATCTGGTGGGTACGAAATGCCAACGGTAAAGGATCTTCCTTGAGATTGCAATGTGTGAAGTACATAGTGTAAATTTCTTGTTGGCCTCAAAGATACATGACCACTGGTCAGTTGTTTTTGGAGGTCCCGTTCCCATGCCACTACATAGGGGGTTATACGGAAATCCATTGGTGGATAATTACGGTGATACAAAGTAAATATTTTTTGGGGACGTTTTGGTTGCATGCATAGGGTCTCCAGTCCCGACATCTGCTGCCCAGTCCCATTCTCGCAGTTAAACTCTTTATTTTTTCCCATCCAAGATCTAATTTGCATGTAAGTGAATTCAGCGGTGTTGGGGAGGTTTTATATTGTTTGCAAGGATTTAAATGGAAGAAGTGTGTGGCCTTCGGTTATCTGATGAAGATGTGTTAGGCCATTTTGAGACCAGGCACTTATATTTAAGTTAGATCGGAGTACGGCAAATGCCTGAATGGGCGTTGCAGGTGAAAGCTTTGCGTGTATGTTATGTGCTGTTCTATATCTATCCCATTCTTTTAGAGTCAGTGTTGTTGTTGGTGAAATGTCTCGGTATTGCTTTATATGCTGCGGCATGATCCAGGCTAGGGATGTAATGTGGTGTGTCCTTCGGTGTAGGTTGCTTCTAATGTTAACCAGGAGGGTGAGGATTTGCTCTGATGCAAGACCATCACCAGAGGGCTGAGGACAGCCGCCGGTAATAATTAGTCAGATTTGGGAGTTCCAGACCCCCATGATGGAATGGTTTATACATATGTTGGGCAACGAGCCTTGATCTTTTATTTGCCAACACTAATTTGTTAAGCACGGATTGTGTTTCTTTGAGGTATTGTGATGGTATCTTAATTGGCAGTGTGTGGAACAAGTATTGTAATTTCGGCAAAATGAGCATTTTCACAGCCGCCACTCTTCCCATCCAGGATAAGTATCAACATTTCCAACCCAGTAACGGAGTTTTAACATTTTTTATTGCCTTGGCATAGTTTGCCTGATATAATACTTGTACGTGCTTTGTAAAAAACACACCTAGAAATGTGAGAGCATCCTGTCTCCAGTCATATGTGTAGGTTTGTTGCAATGTTTTGGAAAGGGAAGTTGGTGTATGGATGCCTAGTGCTCGTGTTTTTGCTATGTTTAGTTTATAGTAGGAGCATGCACTATATTTAGTTAAGATGTTCTGGAAGGCAGGGATAGATATCTCTGGCTTTGTGAAACATAGCATCACATCATCCGCTAACATTGTAATTTTGCAATCTGTCTCCCATATCCTAATGCCATGTATTGAGATAGAATCCCTTATCGCCTGCGCCAGTGGTTCCAATGCCAAAACATAGAGAAGAGGGGACAATGGACATCCCTGGCGCGTGCCATTCGAAATGCCAAAAGCAGACAGTATTTGCTACTTTTGCTGAGGGATTGGAGTAAAGTGCTGAAATTAGAGATAGAAACTGTGGAGGGAAATCAAATTTTTGTAATATGGCCTTGAGGAAGCACCAGTGCAGCCTGTCAAAAGGCTTTTTCAGTGTCCAAGGAGAGGAAGATCCTGGGCTCCCTCGAGGCTCGTTGTCCATAAAGAAAATTTTACAGTTTTCTGGTACCATCAGCTCCTGTCTGCCTGTGACAAACCCCACTTAGTCTGGGTGTACCAATGATGGAATCAGGTCAGACACTCTGTTTGGGTATATTTTTGCTAGAATTTTAGTATCTGTATTCAGTAGTGATATTTGTTCGGTGGTTTCCCTGGTTTTGGTAATGTCGCTATGTGTGCTAGTAACATGTCGGATGGTAACTTACCATTATGTGGTTATGGAGTGGTTACTAATTGGGGCCCTAGAGTTTGATGGAAGGTTTTATAGTAGGCATTTGTGAAGCCACCTGGGCCTTGTGATTTTCCCGGGGGTAAGGGTTGTATAGTTTGTGTCACTTATGTTTTAAGTTGTAAAGTGATCTATAGAATTCAGCCATAGTGTTATGTCTTATGGATTGTATATTTTCCCACCCAAGTCATTGAACAAGGATGGGATTTTTGATTGAGCCTGTTGCTGGCGTAACATTGCCGCAAGTGCTTTGCTGGCCCTGTGTATAACTTTTACAGTTTTAATCTTTGGAGAGTACAGTACTGGTTGTCTTTTTTAGAAGTAGCTCGTTTATTTGTTTGGTTGTCTGACGTATTTGTTGGTCTAGTGCAGGGGTAGGCAACCTACGGCACTAGTGCCATGCACGGCACTCGAGGTGTCTTTCCACGGCTCTGGCCTATCAGGAGTCCCAGTAAAACTTCAGATATCTGCGAATACGAAGAGGTGGTGAAGGATAATCCTCAATTTATGCATTGCAGCACGTAGAGGAAGTGATCTCAGAGCACTTCCTCCCAGCACTTGTGAATGGGAATCCACACTGTAGTAGAGCAGCTTGCAGTTGCTGTTGCAGTTCCTGTCCTTGACCTGTACCTGGCCGGCCTGGTCCCCACTGGAACCCAGGGAAGCCACCCACACTGCTAGATATACAGAGAGCTGCACAATAACCCTCCCCTCATACAAATAATATGAACAGCCACACAATCCGCACAAACTCAACACCACTAACAATCCACATACATGCACACAACCCACATGCAGCCTCTCACATGCAATACCCCAAACAGCCCCCACACATACACACACTACCAAACACACAATGTGACATATCCATCCACACACAATTCCACAAGCAGCCCCCATACACAGCCCACATTCATATGTATCATACACGATACCACAATCTACTAATGAACATATACAATATAATAGCTCATATACGCACAAATACAACGATACAAAGCAATTACAGTAAAAATAACACAAGCAGAATACGGCAGCATACACACTTCAATTTAAAAAAAAAAAATAGGATCGGCACACTAGGGGACATCACAATCCTATATCGGCACAGTGCTGCTAAAAGGTTGCCTACCCATGGTCTAGTGTATCCCTGGGGTTCAGGAAATGGGCATTTGTTAGGTCCCTAAGTGTTCGGAGTAGGGCAAGATATTCTCTGTGTGGAATTTGTTTTAGATATGAAGCTCTACTAATTATAAACCCTCTGACAACTGCTTTATGAGCTTGCCATATAGTCGTGGCTTGAACTTCAGATGTAACGTTGTCTTTAAAGTAATTTGATATGTCAGCTTCCAATTTAGTTCTAAACTCATGGTCGTATAAGAGTATCATTCAGGCGCTACAGGGTCCGTTCTCTATTGTCGAATATGTTTTGTAAGGTCATAGTTATCGGAGCATGGTGCGACCAAACTATATCTCCTGTACGACAGCTTACGACAGATGACAAGTCTCTGGACACTAGTATCATGTCTATTATTGAGTGTGTTTTATGTACCGAGGGGAAAAACGTAAATTAGGGTGCTGAGTACACCATACATTGCATAGGTCAAATTCGGAGATCAGCTTGGTGAGGGCTTTGCATTCTGTCAGTAGGGATTTAGATCTGGGGGCTTGTTTGGCAAGAGTTGTATCCATGGGTGGGTGGATGACCTGGTTCAAGTCCCTGCATATTACCAGTTGATTTGTGGGGAGTTTGTTCAGCACCTTATGTATAAAATTGCGTTGATTTGCGTTAGGGCCATAAATGCCAACCAATGTGTATGTGGCTTTGTTGATTTTGCAGTGTAAGATGAGATATCATCCTTGGGAGTCTTTTTTGAGGTGTAGGAATTCAAAAGTAAGGGATTTATGTATCAATTAGGAGACTCCTTTAGTTTTGTAGGAATAAGTTGTATGATATTGTATCAGGACCCAAAAAGTGGTATTTTGTTGTGTACAAAGTGGGTTTCCTGTAAACACAATATGTCAATGCTATCTTTTTTCGCTGCTTTTGTGTGAGATGTTTAGCCCCTGGACGTTATGTGATTATATTTTCATAAATTGAGTGAGTTATGTCTTCATTGAACAGCCGTATGTTGAGTGATGTATGTGGGCATCCGAGATCATAGAGTATCTTGCTGTGTAATGTGCTTTGGTCAGTTTAGGCCCCATGGGCAGCTGTACTTAGAAGGTTTAAGACTCTTAGGGAATGATTAGAGGTAGGGGAAGGCGAGAGATAAAACTGGGGGAAAATAAAAAAGGGATATTTACATAAGGTCCCCTGTGGTGATATGGTACATGGCTGTTGTACCATGGGGTTTGGAAACCAGTTGTTTTCTGTGGGTGGCTATGTGGGCTCTATCGTGTTGTCCCAAGATGGCAGGACGCGTGTGAGGGATGTAACTTGTATCTGTTGTTTATCCACTCTGTGTTACTAGACTTTGTCTCATGGAAAAAAAATATTCTGTCCGGGTCATAAAAGACCATGGGATAAAAGTGCGAGTGACTGTATAGACACCAAGGGTAAAATATAAAAGTACAAATATACACAGTCACCTATAGGCAGCACATGTTTTAATAACTTGTACACATTGTATCTTGTCGAGGACCGATAATTTTGAGATGGAATGTCTAAAGATTAGTTGCATTGAGATAGGAGTATCTCGGTTCCCTTATCATGAAATTTTGCGCGAGCAATCAAGGATCACCCTGATCTTAATATAATCAATATTGTGTGAGGTGCTAGCTCTGAATATAGATAAAGATGACCGAGTAGAACCGGAGTCACTAGATTCCCGTGCACATCATATTTTAAATCATATGCGCAGTACTAATGTGGGATCTATAAGTTTGGTGCATGATGTCATGAGCAACGTCTTTCACTTGTCGTGAGATTGGAAATTATGTGATCGGGAGGCATCTCGAGATCTATGACGTGTAACAATGCATCTATAACTGTACTGTATGTGTCTATTATAGGTGTAACAATGTATCTATAACTGTGCTGTATGCGTCTATTATATGTGTAACAATGTAGTACTGTATGTGTCTATTCTATGTATAAAGACTCCAAGATGGCTGCTGCAATGGATGTGATTGGATGCCCAACTAATGTCAATAATCAGAGTGAGTGCACATGAATGACAAATCAAGATAAATACAGATTTACTAGCCGTTTATTAATTCCAACGGGATTATTATAGAGCCAGAATGTGAATATCTTAATGTATTAAGGCATGGTTTATAGCATGGACAAGTCTTCATTATACACAAAAATACCGGGGAAATACTGGCAAACACAATGATGTGAGTTCTGTGGAAGTGAGTAATGTTTACTTAGAGCCTTGCCCTGTGAGACAATTACAAAGAAACAACAGAAATGTGACAGACTGTACAGGCCTCGGTAATACTCTGCAGCACTGTGTGACGAGCTGGGAATCACATATTTACCTACCAGTGAGTAATACAGACGCCGAAACTATATGAACGTAGGGACTTCCAGATCCCACCATAAATGGATACAGGAAAGTTTAGAGAATGAAAACAAAGTGCGAAAAAAAGATTGATAATCTGGTCGTTTCCCCATTTTGCCCAGAAATCACAGAACGGGAACCCACAGAGCACGGATCTAAATATCTAAAACTAATAATTACAAAATCCAGAGATCAGGAACCAAACACAGAGTGTGCTCCGTGTCATGATAAACTCATGGTGTATCTGTGATGGGTTTTACCTTGTTTGTGATCTCTAAGGCTTGTCATAGTTTGTAAAATGTATCTGAATCTAAGGCTGGGGTATCAGACAGGACCCCAGCTCTCAGAAGGAGCTTGAAAACCCTGTAATGTATATTGTTAGCTCAATGAAGGGTCATACATGTAACGTTTGGGCAGTGTTTGTAGATGCAGTTTTATGTTGGGTCCTTTATATAGGATACATGTACTGTATGGTCTAGATTCATAGAGATGGTCAGATCTAGTTACAAAGATGACATTATTATTCGTTACATTGTACATCATCAGCCTGGTTTGGAACATTTAACTGGCCCTTATAAAACCCAAGACCTTTGCACCCTCCTTGTCCTGGTGGTGAAGGCAGATTTGTCACTGGAATAGGTGTAGGTGGATTAACAGGATTTATTTATATTGCAGACCCACTGAGGCATGCCTGAAGGGACCTTCGTAGCACCTAAGACTTTCCGATAAAGAGGTTAACATAAGATAATGTCCATATATTTGTGGGGTTTGTTAGAATGGATAGTTGAGCGTACATGCAGCTTGGTGATCATCATAAACCTGCATTCGGACAGTCTATACTCCGTGCTGTGTAAGAGGTAGCGACGCCGAGGTAACCTTGTGTTTTGTCCGTCTTTAAATCGTGCATGCCATCTTCTTCTGTAGATAAAGGAACCAATGAGTCTTCCAGGAACAAGGAAGGAAGTTCGCAATCTTTAAAAGCTTTCTTTAGGGAACCTAGCCATTAACGAGGGCAGCAATCAGCCACTCTTTGACTTTCCCAGGCCGCAATGTAGAAAAAGAAACCTTGCCCTTTCCTGGGAGTACCAAGAGGACTCCCTGTGCTGGTTGGATTGAGATAAAGTATAAAGAAGGAGAGAGATTTCGGGAATATCTGGAGCAGATCAATAGACGTTCTTTGCATCTCACTTAGTGACGATTTCATTGGGAGGCCGGGTCGATGCAGGAGCGCTCTGTGTATTGCTACAGAATGGGACACAAGGGAGGAATTAGAGATTTCCTTTATTTGCAATAATTCAAGGAGTCAAACTGAAAGTCAGGAAGCAGAAAGCGATAATTATGTTAATTACCCGAATGGAGGCAATTCATGCTTGGATTCCCAATTGTTGGACTTGCGAATAGATTATCCCAGATTAATTCAATTGCTTCCTTAGAACCCGGGGGTCCAGGAGTAAATGTTATATAGCGGACATTACGGTCGCGCTGGCGCTTTGAACAGATTTTGGTAGCAAATAAAAAACCCTCAATCGTTTAGGAATTTGTACCGAGCAGTGCTGCACCAGGTGTTATTTGTACCTTTGGCTAGTTAGTGTTCATTTTGTTCCACTCCGGAGTAAATTTCTCATTAAATTAAAGTTGATTCAAATATTGAATAAAAAGAGAAAAATAATGAAGATCTGCCCCAAATAATAAGAACCATCTATAAAATGCCGCCAGAGCATTAAAACACACAGACGGCTTTAATGGCCAAAATGGTCTAATCAAAGGCCGCTGCCAGGGAACTCCTGGCACCATAACCACTACAGGATGTTCAGTAGTTATGGTGCTCAGACTGTCCTTTTTAGACACAGATTACTTTCTAAACCATTATTTATGTCAGACAGCCCGGGTTATTCACTAAAATTGAATTGTCAGAAATTCAAAGTGATTTTCAAAACTTTGCATCACACAGGCTTGTTACAATGCTGCCGCCCATCCCATGTGTTCCCTAGTAAGGGTTAATAAGTATATAGGGGTGTATATGCCAGAAGCTCAAGGAAGCAAGGTGAAAGGTCAGTGTAGGACCCACCTGAGAGATTTGCCTTGAAGTGGCAGGTGGGCTAAAGTCTCTCATGGCCACTGGGGTAACAAAATAACCTCCATTTGTTTAAACATGCATAGGGATTTAGTAGAGAGCGCAGGTAATTTTTTCTTTGTTTTTTATTGAATGTATTGGGGCTGATGTGTACTGTAGTCGTTGCTGCCGCCCAGGAGTAGTGGGAGTTTTTGTGTAGCTAGATTTTATACACCTGGCAATGAGCCTGAAACGCCTGAATCCAATAATCGAGGTCAAGAGTGTCTGATCATTATTGTATCAGAAAACCCCACTGTCATTTTGTGAGTAAACTATTGGGGCACCAAAACAGAGCCGGTCTTAGAATAACAGCTGGTAGCGGTGTATTGGTACAGTATCATATCGGGGCAAATAAGACAAAAATACATAAAAATGGAAAAACATCAAAACTGAATTCTAATTACTACACATATAATATTCATTACAAGGAGCAAGATTCTGTATTAGGGATCTATTCATATATATAAGGAGTAAAATCTTAATTTAAACCCAAGAGACTATTTTGGAAAAATAAACCCAACTAGATTCTGATTTTAGGACAAAAAAATGGTTAATATTGCCTTTGCGTAGATTCAACTGTAGTTTTTTTTGATAGCTTGGGAACACAGATGCTTCCGATTGGTATCTTGATTGCACCGAACATGTGCCGAAATTATTGATAGTTTTACTGAAACCCACAATCGCATGCGTAGCAGACTCTTCCCATTTTGTTCGGTTGTCCCCCAAATGGATGGTGTATGTGACCCCCTTTTTCATACCTCCCCGAACACTGACCACCCCTGGCAGTTAACCCGCAATAAAGTAATTAACTAGAGTGCTTTCCCTGGGTGGCCGCCATTTGTGTAACTGAATGCATGTGCTCCAGTGAATGGCGGCCATTTTGTCTCCCGAACACAGGCAGCTGTACATGGTCGAACGCCTGGAACTATTTTCAGCCACGCGAGTCCACGATCCCGGCAAGGATTATACCACTGCCCGACCGGCAAGGAAAATGATGTTCGGGAAATAAGAACTACTGACAGGGGGAGCATTCGCTCCCTAAAAGCCAGGGGAAGTGTTTGTCGGTGTTTGCACAGGAACCGCAAAGTAGACTGGCCTTTGCCCTCGTTTCTCTGGAACTATTTTTGCTCGTAGCCGGCCGGTCAGAACTTTACCTGAATGGCGATTCCATTCTATCTAATGGATCTGAGCACTATTTGGACAACTTGACTCAGAGTTATACGATTTGTGAGGTTCCTGTAAAATATGACTATGTTTTTCGGATGTTTTATATAGGTTTCGTGTATTTCCCTATAACAGAGAGATAATGGAGTTACTCCGTTTTGACTCAATTATCTCTCAGGCACAGGGATGCCTGGGAGGGGTTTGTGCATAAAAGTCCGAGTTTGTGCTGAATAAATCAGTTGTACTTTCAGTTACTGGGGAGGGATAGAGCTATTCACATTTCAGCGCCTTGTTACCGAGTTCCTGTCTTCACAGAGCCAGCGGAGGAAAAGTCTTTGTCGGGATTAATTAAACGAGTTGTGTGGTGAATTAATATCATACCGCCTTTGGTAAGAGTCAACCAAGTCATTCTGGGCTTAGGAGGTTCTAGATGGTTATGAAACAACAGATCTCTGAAAGTCACACCCCACTGCCCAAATATGAAATAAAAATCACTGTTTAGTAGATTTACCTAAAATCAAAACTTACAGGCATTTAATTATGCAATTTTCCATTGGGGTAAATATAAAAAACACACTTTGCAAAAGCTGTAGATCTTCTGTCTGCAGCCTTTCTAACCCCACCCAGACTTTGTGTGGCTGTCCAATCACAGGCTTCCCAATGCAGCTCAATGAGAAGTCTTTGCAAGGCAGGTGCTCTGGGCAATTGCTGCCTCTTGAGTTAGTCTCCCCTGAGCTTAACAACCAGGAAGTAACAGGAGAGGTTATCTGATTGACAGCCAGGGGGGTGTAACAAGGTTCATTTAGAAAAGTGTCGATTTATATTTAAAAAATAAAAATAAAAAAAATTTTAAAAAAAAGAGAAACTCTTCAAACACAGCTTTTCTGAAAGTTAAAATACTTTAGGGGTCTGGAGTGTCCCTTTATGCTCTTAGATCTCCTAGCCGTCATAGAGGGAAGTGATGGCAGAATGTCATTGAGGTCAGAATAAGGTTTTAGATTTCACCATTTTCACATTTACTGACACACACACACACACAAACTTTTTTATTTATGTCCTCACAACCTCCCTACTAGACGTGGAGTGGATCCTTTTCCTGGGGTCCATTGCGGCTGCTCTAACTCTGTAATCTTCCTACAGTTCTTGCTTTGCTCCCTTTGGCGCAGTTTAGTGACATATTTTGGCTCCTGGCATCACTGCAGAGCGAAACATAAGGGGCCCGTTCACACTTGCGACCTCCGCGACCCCTGTAGTTCAATCACTGCGCCCTCCCCATGTGTTAACAAGTGTGTAGGGGTTTAGAAAAATACAAAATAGAATTTGTTTAAGCCCTCATTCAAGTCTTACGTGTCATGTTTGAAATACTTGAATGAGGGCTTAACCCAAAACTCCATACCAAAAATACCATAACATTACAAAAACTCCTCTTAAAAGGAGCACTGCAAATAGACAAGTCAATGATAATAAATAGAAGTGAGAAAAAGAATATGTATAAAGCATAATAAAAAAAAATAAATAAAATGATAGTAATCTATTATAATTTGTATAACCTGGAACTTGGAATGAATAAAACCATCATCACGTGTTTCGCTTTTGGAGTCCCAGACAATGCGCTATTCAGCACCGAAATGTGCGTTGCTGTTTTAAAGGGTGATGGTGTAGTTATTTATTATAATAAAGATTACTATCATTTTCATGCGATTTATACATATTCTTTTCTTACTTTATTTATTATTTGGGGAATTTATTTCCAATACTCCTTTAAGATACATTTTTGGAGTTTAGAAAAAAACCCTCTTTAGATACTGAGAAACACAGAAGTTGGGCAAGGGGACAGTGACACACACACACAAATGGATTGGGGAGAAAAAGACATGCGAAGTTGGCAAAAAAAAAAAATGGGGGGGGAGGGGGCAAGCAGTCTAGAGACCACTAGAGGTTTCCTTAGGGAGCAATGTAAACAGAAAAGGTAGTGTTACAAGTGATTGTGTAGGGACCATCTCTTTACACCAGAGCCACGTACAATAAGCTGCAGTGGTTGTGGTGCTAAGAGCGGCCCTTTAAAGGGACTCTCCAGTGCCAGAAAAACATTAGTTTTCCTGGCAGTGCCTCTCTCTTTCCCACCCCACATCTCCCTACAGTGTCCCTCTCCCTCCCATCCGACGTCAGCCGGCGGGGGAGACCTACTGCGTATGCGCGGCAATGGCCGCTCACACACATTAGATCTCCCCATAGGAAAGCCTTATTCAAAGCTTTCCTATGGGGATTTCGTCAACACTGGAGGTCCTCACATAGCCGACAGTCCTGGGAGTTGCAGTCCAATAAAAATCAGCTTTCCATCATTACATTTTCTAGCTTTGACAAATCATACAATCCGGTTCCTTGAAAAATGACCTTAATGCACAAATAGCCATAAACATTGTGTATAAATACACACACACACACACACACACACACACACACACACCCTCTCTCTGTTTAGTTGTGAATACGGACATTTTGCGGCTTGTTCCGCCTGTTATTCTAGATTTCTGTAACAATCTCTGAGCTCAGTAGAAATACTGCAAACACACCATGAAATTCCGGTCATTCCTTGCGTGTCTGTACATACAGCAAGCCATGCTCCTACCACTACCCTGGACCTAGCCACGGATAGAACACAATGCCACGGGGCAGCCACATCAGAGTCTGTCATTATAAATCGCTCCTATTTCCCATGTTTTGCAATTCAGAATTCAATTTGCTGCAATTCTGATTTTAAATTAGCACTCCGGGGCACCATCACAACTTCATTGGAATTAATTTGTTATGGTACGAAGAGGTACCTGGCACTGGCTTAACTGTAGGGGATTAACCTGCCCTTGTGCTGCTTAGGATCTTAATGCTCTAAACTGGCTTGGGAGAAATAGGTTTGTGTCTCAAGACATTTTGTTATGGGAGCTAGTGATTGCATCATCAACTGATACTGTCTGAGGGGCTGTGGATGAACAGAGCGATTGGCAACGTAATACTGGACTTTTAGGTTAATTCTTTCATGAGCAGGTGAGCCGGCACTAGAGATCTCATGGCACCATAACAACTATGTTTATATGGCACCAACATTTCTCACAGTGCTTTACAATTACAAATTTGGATATTTAACAGCAAATAAAGTCCTCTCCAGAGGCGGGAGCACAGTGGATGTCACTGAATGGAAGGGCTGCAAAGGCAAGTGATTCAGTAGCGATTACTGAAGTAAGAGAAGGAATGAAAGTTCTGCTGTAATGTTAATAAAAATAGGCTCTACTTAGATTGGCTTCGTCTTTGCATCTATATATTACAGGATAAGTTGCACGTTCATTCCAAATAAAGAATTTAACATAATGCGCATGTGACAGACCCATCCGTATGCACTAAAATTGCTGTGTTCGTCTGTTTTGCATGAATTTCCCCCATTCGTATGCCTTGATTAAGGGAATGTATTTTTTTGTCGAACGGAACTACCGAACGGACGGCCACCCAGAAGAGAAGTGTGCTGCTGGTTAACCTATTGATCCCAATTAGAACGTTGCGGTTAACTACAGACACTTCTCAATTAAAACCAAATACAGGGTGGTCGTCGTTCGTATGTCGACCACGAGGCGGCGGCCATTTTAACTATGCGAAAGCCCAGCGGTGTTCGACGATTATTTCATGGAACTCAAAACGGACACTTTTTCAACCGAACACCGCTGAAGCAGTCGACCTCCCCTTCCCAATCGACAAAAGCATAAGAATGCCAGCCGTTCGGGAGAGTTAACAACACGAATGGACTTAACCCAGATAGCCTTCCCATGGAGTCAATCGCATACCGAAGAACTGGAATAGACTTTGACTCCATGGCGATTGAACTATGTGTATGGGATCTGAGCGCTATTCGCCAATAATGTGCACTCAGATCCAGGCTATCTGGGGATATGTTATACGAATGCAATACGTTCGGCAGTCATAAAGTTATGGATTTTAATGTGTTTTATAACTGAGTTAAAATGGCGATTTGCCTCTGCTCGGGGAGATAATTGAATTACTTCCCAATTATCTCCCGAGCAGAGGGGAGGGAACTGTGATGCATGCGGGGAATATTGTGGGGATGTATGTCCAAAATGTCCCCATGTCCTTCTGTCATTTCAGTCTCCCATTTGGTCCCCTAGGGGAGTGTCCACCAAGTGGGAGACCTGCATAAATACGGGCAGGTAGCCCACAGTAAACTCAGTTCGTGTTTTACCCTCAAAGCGGAGCTTGGTCTCGTTATTGGGGGGGATTTTATTACCGGCGCCTAGAGACTACTTATTGGGATTATTTGCCGCTTGGAAACTATTGCCGTTCGGCTGCTAGTGGCGATTCGTGCATTTGGAGCTCGTGAAGGGAAGGAGCCGTACAGGTACCGTTCGGGAGTTTGGAGTGTTCCCTAGCTGGCGGTTCGCATGGTTATACTGCATACGTTACCAGACCACATTATTGCGAACGGGGAGCATTCACTAAACGGCGGTTTGTGCATTTTCTACGGGAGGTACCGTAACAGCGCAATTTAGACTTCATTTCGTTACGATCTGTAATTCATCTAAATCTTCCAAATTGCTAAACTCTGAGCCAAAATGTGTCCGAATCATGAACCAAACGAACTGCGCAGTGGACGAGCATGGCTATGGGAGAGCCAGTAAATGTCGATTTTATCCACAGATCAAACGTGAACTGACAGACATTATATATATATATATATATATATATATATATATACACACATACATATATACACACACACACACACACACACACACACACACACTCTAAATATGTAATCTACAAACATTTGTTAAGGCTCCTTTTCTTTCTTCCCCACTATTAGTGTACCACAAAATATACACACAGCGCTGCGGAATAAGTGTAATCGTACGTATAATTTGTACTATGTGTATATGAGCAGTACAGTGTGTGGCAAACCCTGCCACTTGGACTAATTATTCTATGCGAATGGGTGAATTTCACCAAGTGAATAACTGCACGAACAGACTTTAAATGTTATTGTACTGTTTTTATGCGAATGCCCAAAACTACCAAACGGGAGACCACCCCGGGGTGGTCGTGTGTTTCCAATTATCTGAACGATACAATGTTGCGAAGGGAATTAAGTACCTGTATGTGTGGCCGCCATTTCGCCTACCGAACACGTGGCGGCGGCCATCTTACGCACGAACAGCGGTACTTGGTCGAACGCCTGGAACTCAAACCGGGCATTCGACTAACCAAGTACCGCTAAGACCTCCAGCATGCTCCGACAGCACGAATTAAACACACGAACGTCCCGGCGTTCGGTAGATAGATTCCCCTAAACGAGGGGATTCATACGAATGCTAGCAGTCGCATGGATGGCTAAGCTGTTCGGGATTTTTCATTCACTAAAATAGACCAACCGCAGGGCCAGAATTCATGGAACTGTTTTTTTGCTACTGAGTCCCTGCGGTCAGTCAAATCTTTAACTGTCTATAACTCCCGAACCCCTGGTCTGATCTGTGTGAATTTCGAGTATGTTGCTCACCCAGATCAGCCCTACCAGGGGACCCCTTATTTGTCCTTGTACCCCCTGTATTTAGGGGACATCCAGAAAGTGGGGAAAACTCTGTCCCCACTAATCTGTTTAAGTGCTAATCTAAGGGGAGGAGAGGGAGGGGAGGTGACCGGGTTACTGTACTAATTCTGAAAGTTGCATGGGAGAAATGCATAAAAGCAGACCTGTGAATAAAGCTGGCAGTTGACTCCCAGACTATGTGCCATCTAGCCCTTGGGGAGGTGGATTATGCTGTGTTCCTGTGATTTTGTATGCAGAATCTTTGTTCCCAGCGGAGAGCTATTGGATTAACCCCTGCTCCTCCGCTACACAGTGATTGGCCCATTTTCACGCCCTTTCATTTGTCTGATTTGTTTCCAGAATAATTTCTTAAAATTTGGACAAGTTGAACAGCTATGTGACAAAGTCAGTCATCCCACATTTTTATTTATTTATTTTTAAATTTTCAGCAAAAGTGGCTGAGCTGAATGTCTTTTCGCAGTGCACCAAGTTTAGCGCAGACTGCATTTATTGCCCCAGGAGTCGTTACTGTAATTGGTTTCATATACGAACATGTTTAGTGCAAACATTTTGTGGAATGCATTCGAAGTAACCCTGCTGCTCCTCTCTTCCCAAAACAAAGATTCTGAAACAAGGAGGACAGGTGTGACTTACCTACCCGCCACCACTCACCCGACACAATGGACAAGGAATAAAAACCCAAGATCTATTTCTGGATTCCGAACGCTGATGGTTTAATATAAGGTATGGATGTCTGCGCTCTTCATGCTTGCGGTAAAAGAGCTAATCTAGGAGAATTCTCCAAACCTGCTCTCGTCACAGTTTAGCCTGAATGTTGCAATTCTGGGCTCAGATTACCACAATTCATTGTTTAGTAAATAGACGCCACAGTTACTTCTCTATAAAAACAAACAATCAATTGAAATAAATAGAGCTCCAGGCAGGCAGCGGTCACAGAGAATAATGTGGGAAATCATTAAAGGGCGTTCTTCCGGTGCTGCGCTGGTTACAATACACACCTTATGGATGGGAATACGGATTATACCGTCTATATTGGGAGACCGAACTCATTTAAAGAAATCACTAGCTATACTCCTCCTCTCTCTTGGGAAGGTATGTGTGAGGGTTACAGTGTTTGTTTGTGTGAGGGGGTGCAGTTTGTGTTTGTGTGTGAGAGGAGTGCAGTGTGTGTGTGTGTGTGTGTGTGTGTGTGTGTGTGTGTGTGTGTGTGTATAGTGTGTGTTTGAGGGGGTGCAGTTTGTACAGTGTGTGTGTGGGTGGGTGCAGGGTATGTGAAGTTGTGTAGTGTTTGTGAGGGGTCTATATTGTGGTAGGGGGGTGATCAGGGAGAAAATGTATATTTACTTAAAAATGGGGGGAGAAGTTTTATGCCCCCCTTCTTGCCTCTGGCCTGGAAGGGGGGGGGGGAGGGACGACGACAGATCATTGCAATCCCTGGTGGTCCAGTGGTGGCATATGCACTTCAGTCTGCAGCTCCTTCAGCTGCAGGCTGACCTCACCATTTTCTTCATGCAAGCAGCAACACTCCGACCTGCCTGTTCGCAGGAGGATCACACAGCCTCCTGGGTCTTCCTCCTGCCCTGCAGTCTCACTCTCCATTAACAAACTGCCAGGAGATCTTTGATCTCTTCACCAGCTCAAGAAAAGCAGACAGCAGGGCCGGCTCACCTCGGGTGAAAGCTTTCGCAGATCGGCAATAAATTCTTGTGGACCAGCTCTGGTCCGGATACCACCGGTTGAAGACCACTGCCCTAGCATACAGGTGCCATGGTTTGTAGTGCAATCCTTGCACTATTTGTGTGCACTTTACATGAGGAGGAGTGTTAGGACACCCATTGGCACCGCAAAGGAGTGGGGCAGCCCGTTACCCCACTCTGCCCCCTCGATTCTCTGATGCAGGTGTAGGATTGGCTGGGAGACAATTCTTAGTGCAGATCTCGCGGAGCCGGGGAAAAGCTGGGTCCTAGGGAACCCCTCACTGTTGGATTAGTGGTAGAACCTCACGAGTGGCGTCCCAGTAATCTAAATGGAATTTTAAACATTCCAGCGTTATAAATAAAGTTTTGTGTTTTCTGTAATGCTGGCGTGCGCCTTCAATAGTAACAAAGCATCACGTGATCCTATGGATAAGACGAGCTCTGGGAAGTTTTCGAGGGTTTATTTAATGGTGTAAATCCCAGAGAAGTGACCGTTCACCATACAAATTGTGCGGCTGCTGCCAATAAACCGGCACAGTGAGCAGCGGAGCGCGGCGCCCAGACCAGGAAGTGAGTCACCCAATCAAAGCAGAGGTTTATGGGAAAGGTAGGTGAACTCGACTCATTACATCGGACGAGCAGAATAAGTGGACAGCGCAGTATGACGGTTTTACACTTCACCTTTTGAATATTCAGTTTGTAAATAGGGCCGTGGAGAGAGCACTTACCCCACAAAGCTGAATTTATCACAAGAATAACTTCCGGATCAGTGCAGTCAAACCCCCTCATTGAATAAATGCAGACCTCAAACTCCAGGGGATTTTGTAAACCAATTTGGACATTTTATAGGCCAGCCATGATGGAACGCACAGCCAATATCGCCATGTACGGGCACTGCCTTGGGAATAGCAGAGAGAGGGAATCACGAGACCAAATCCCGTCCACATACATCAAACCCATAGCCAAAGGCGCGTCACATGGTAAATAGCGTGTGAACATTACATGTGATTAATATAAATTGTTTTACCCCCAGCTTGACCACAGAGGAGAGGAATATTCATTTCCAGGTTGTGAATGGACTTTAATATTAAATTGCAAGCTTTTGGGATCAGTGCAGATACAGACAGTGACTTGTGTCTACACATTGTGCGTCCAAACTAACAAGACGGAAGTTCATTTCACTATAAATATGGCCATCTCCCCCTTCTTTTAACACACCATCAGCACAGCCGAACGACACAAACCAGGTGCCATGTCTTCATTACGATAATTATTGTTATAAATAATAATTATAATAATAATAATAATAATAATGACTATTAATACAACATATGACAAATCCTTTATAGGAATTAAAGGCACGACCAGTCTGTCCAATCCGTGCGCCATGTTGTGGGGGGGGGAGGGGGGAAGGAAAGATCTGCCGGTAAGTAATTTGTGTTATTTGCACCGAGTGAATTTTCGACCCCCTGAAAGTGATCCACATGATCTGAACATTATGTTCACATTAACATTAACACACTGGGTATCAATGGTACAGATATGCATTGCGCAGGGAACTACAGAAACTACAAAAACCAGTTACATTATACCAGAACGGCAAAGTACTGACTCCATGTCCCATCATCCTTTATGGCAACTCCGAGCTCAGCAACTAATCAGATTTAACTGAATAAACGACAATACACAGCGTGGGCGCAAACAAACACACACACAGCATGTACGCTTACCTGCACCAGGCGCCCACACAGCATGTACTCTTACCTGCACCAGGTGCCCACACAGCATGTACGCTTACCTGCACCAGGTGCCCACACAGCATGTACGCTTACCTGCACCAGGCGCCCACACAGCATGTACGCTTACCTGCACCAGGTGCCCACACAGCATGTACGCTTACCTGCACCAGGCGCCCACACAGCATGTACGCTTACCTGCACCAGGCGCCCACACAGCATGTACGCTTACCTGCACCAGGTGCCCACACAGCATGTACGCTTACCTGCACCAGGCGCCCACACAGCATGTACGCTTACCTGCACCAGGCGCCCACACAGCATGTACGCTTACCTGCACCAGGCGCCCACACAGCATGTACGCTTACCTGCACCAGGTGCCCACACAGCATGTACGCTTACCTGCACCAGGTGCCCACACAGCATGTACTCTTACCTGCACCAGGTGCCCACACAGCATGTACGCTTACCTGCACCAGGTGCCCACACAGCATGTACGCTTACCTGCACCAGATGCACACAGCATGTACACACCTTGCACACATCCTCCTCCCCACGTTCAGATCTATGCACTGCATCTACCCCCAGATATACAAACATACACAGTTCTGTACAAATTACCCCAGAGGCACGACTTTAGGGTAACTTGCCCCCTGGCCCTTGGGTCCCAAATCGAGACTGTTCTGCCAGATCCGGGATATTATGGAGGAATGCAAAATGGAAGTCTATGGTATTAACCCTTTAAATACACAAGCCTGGAACAGTTACCAAGTTGATCTGTTAATATACAAAAAGGCATCACAATCCGCTTATCAGCGTTTCACCATAATGTGGAAATGAATCCACTTAATATGGACTCCAGCCAAGGCACACAGAGGGTTCTGGGTAATTAACCATCCCTGACCCCAGTCTGGGCCTGTGCAGGCTGACATGCAGTAATTATTGCTGGCAATGAACAGGTTAAATGCCTTATCTGCATGCAGTGACGCCCATCCCATGTAAAACTTTTTATTCAGAGGGTCTCAACATGCCGCTGATTTACATACGACCCCACCTAGTTCATTTAACTAAAGTCAGCACACGTGTAACCCTTTAAATGTCAGACTGTCCATGCCAGCCGTGAAGAGATTAACACATTCTTAGTCATATACCCCCCACATCCCAAACATGAGCAAAAAGTGGGGGGGGGGAGGCGTGGCAGGTAAGTGAGCAGATATTTGGAGACGGAAGTTAAATCGATAACAGTAATGTAAAACATGGACTCACCTAATGCTCAGTGTCAACGACCGCAAACGTCTGTCTGTCTGTCCTGCAGAGGCTCTGTCGAGAGCTGTGTGTGTGTGTGTATATGTATATATATATATATATATATATAATTATGTATCCGTGGGCTGTGGGTTTGTCCTCTCGGACGGATACTCTGTATCTCTCAGCCCTGAGCCGCCTCCCTCACTGCAGTCAGCCTGGCTGGGAGGGGCCGCACGGGGGAAGCTGTAATGGGAGGGGGCCCCAGCCTGTGATAGTGGGAAGGGATTGGTGAAACCGGGAGGGGCCCCAGCCTTTCTTAGAGGGAGGAGGTTAAAATAGGAAGGGGCTCCATTCTGACATGGGGGTCTGCTCTGTATTGGAGGGGTCTGCTCTGTAATGGAAGGGATAACTGTATTGGAGGGGTCAGCTCTGTATTGGAGGGGATCGCTCTGTATTGAAGGGGGTCTGCTCTGTATTGGAGGGGATCACTCTGTAATGGAGGGGATCTGCTCTGTATTGGAGGGGATCGCTCTGTATTGGAGAGGATCTGCTCTGTATTGGAGGGGATCGTTCTGTATTGGAGAGGATCGCTCTGTATTGGAAGGGTCTGCAATGTATTGGTGGCGTCTGTTCTGTATTGGAGGGGATCCCTCTGTATTTGAGGGGATAGCTCTGTAATGGAGGGGATCGCTCTGTATTGGAGGGGTCTGCTCTGTATTGGAGGGGGTCGCTCTGTATTGGAGGGGGTCGCTCTGTGTTGGAGGGGATAACTCTGTATTGGAGGGGATCGCTCTGTATTGGAGGGGATCGCTCTGTAATGGAGGGGATCTGCTCTGTATTGGAGGGGATCGCTCTGTATTGGAGAGGATCTGCTCTGTATTGGAGGGGATAGCTCTGTATTGGAAGGGTCTGCAATGTATTGGTGGCGTCTGTTCTGTATTGGAGGGGATCCCTCTGTATTTGAGGGGATAGCTCTGTAATGGAGGGGATCGCTCTGTATTGGAGGGGTCTGCTCTGTATTGGAGGGGGTCGCTCTGTAATGGAGGGGATCGCTCTGTATTGGAGGGGGTCGCTCTGTGTTGGAGGGGATAACTCTGTATTGGAGGGGATCGCTCTGTATTGGAGGGGGATCGCTCTGTATTGCAGGGGTCTGCTCTGTATTGGAGGGGATCGCTCTGTATTGGAGGGGATCGCTCTGTATTGGAGGGGGATCACTCTGTATTGGAGGGGATCACTCTGTGCATTGGGAGGGGATCGCCTTGTATTGAGGGGGATAGCTCTGTATTGAGGGGGGATAGCTCTGTATTGAGGGGATAGCTCTGGTGGAGGGTCGTCTGTTGGGAGGATCAGCTCTGTGTGGAGGATGGCTCTGTATTGGAGGGATCCTCTGTAATGGGTGTCGCTCTGTTTGGAGGGTCTGCTCTGTATTGGAGGGATCTCTGTGGTCTCAGTTTGGAGTTGCTGTGTATTGGAGGGTCTCAAAGTAATGGAGGGATCACTCTGTATTGGGTCTGTTCTGTATTGGAGGTCTGCTCTGTATTGGAGGGTCTGCTCTGTATTGGAGGTCTCTGTATTGGAGGGTGGGCTGTATTGGAGGGGTCAGCTCTGTATTGGAGGGTCAGCTCTGTATTGGAGGTCAGCCTGTGTGGAGGATAGCTCTGTTTGGAGGGTCTGCTCTGTATTGAGGGGATAGCTCTGTATTGGAGGGGTCGCTCTGTATTGGAGGGGTCGCTCTGTATTGGAGGGGATCGCTCTGTATTGGAGGGGATAGCTCTGTATTGGAGGGGTCTGCAATGTATTGAGGGTCTGCTCTGTATTGAGGGGATCGCTCTGTATTGGAGGGATAGCTCTGTATTGGAGGGGATAGCCTGTATTGGAGGGGATAGCTCTGTATTGAGGGGATGCTCTGTATTGGAGGGTCTGCTCTGCATTGGAGGGTCTGCTCTGTATTGGAGGGATCGCTCTGTATTGGAGGTCTGCTCTGTATTGGAGGGTCTGCTCTGTATTGGAGGTACTCTGTAATGGAGGATCTGCTCTGTATTGGAGGGGATCTGCTCTGTATTGGAGGGTCTGCTCTGTATTGGAGGGGATCGCTCTGTAATGGAGGGATCGCTCTGTATTGGAGGGGTCTGCTCTGTATTGGAGGGGGTCTGCTCTGTATTGGAGAGGATCGCTCAGTATTGGAGGGGATTGCTGTGTATTGGAGGGGTCTGCAAAGTAATGGAGGGGATCGCTCTGTATTGGAGGGGTCTGTTCTGTATTGGAGGGGTCTGCTCTGTATTGGAGGGGTCTGCTCTGTATTGGAGGGGGTCGCTCTGTATTGGAGGGGGTCGCTCTGTATTGGAGGGGGTCAGCTCTGTATTGGGGGGGGTCAGCTCTGTATTGGAGGGTCTGCTCAGTATTGGAGGGATGGCTCTGTGTGGAGGATCGCTCTGTATTGGAGGATCGTTCTGTATTGGAGGGATAGCTCTGTATTGGAGGGTCTGCAATGTTTGGAGGGTCTACTCTGTTTGGAGGATAACTCTGTATTGGAGGAATAGCTCTGTGTGGAGGGATAGCCTGTATTGGAGGATAGCTCTGTATTGGAGGGATAGCTCTGTATTGGAGGGTCTGCTTGCATTGGAGGGTCTGCTCTGTATTGGAGGGATCGCTCTGTATTGGAGGGTCTGCTCTGTGTGGAGGGGTCTGCTCTGTAATGGAGGATCTGCTCTGTATGGAGGATCTGCTCTGTATTGGAGGATCTGCTCTGTGTGGAGGGATGGCTCTGTATGGAGTCTGCTCTGTATTGGAGGGTCTGCTCTGTGGAGGTCTGCTCTGTATGGAGGTCTGCTCTGTATTGGAGGGATGGCTCTGTATTGGAGGATCGCTCTGTATTGGAGGGGATCTCTGTATTGGAGGGATGGCTCTGTATTGGGGATACGCTCTGTATTGGAGGGTTCGCTCTGTATTGGAGGGATCTCTGTGTTGCGGGGATGGCTCTGTATTGCAGGTCTGCTCTGTATTTGGGATCGCTCTGTATTGCAGGGTCTGCTCTGTATTGAGGGATAGCTCTGTATTGGAGGGGGATCGCTCTGTATTGGAGGGGATCGCTCTGTATTGGAGGGGATAGCTCTGTATTGGAGGGGATCGCTCTGTATTGGAGGGGGATCGCTCTGTATTGGAGGGGATCGCTCTGTATTGGAGGGGATCGCTCTGTATTGGAGAGGATCGCTTAGTATTGGAGGGGTCTGCAATGTATTGGTGGCGTCTGTTCTGTATTGGAGGGGATTGCTCTGTATGTATTGGTGGCGTCTGTTCTGTATTGGAGGGGATTGCTCTGTATTGGAGGGGTCTGTTCTGTATTGGAGGGGGGTCTGTTCTGTATTGGAGGGGATCGCTCTGTATTGGAGGGGGTCGCTCTGTATTGGAGGGGGTCTGCAATGTATTGGAGGCGTCTGTTCTGTATTGGAGGGGATCGCTCTGTATTGGAGGGGATCGCTCTGTATTGGAGGGGGTCGCTCTGTATTGGAGGGGGTCGCTCTGTATTGGAGGCGTCAGCTCGGTATTGGAGGGGATCGCTCTGTATTGGAGGGGATAGCTCTGTATTGGAGGCGTCAGCTCGGTATTGGAGGGGTCTGCTCTGTATTTGGAGGGGATCGCTCTGTATTTGGAGGGGATAGCTCTGTATTTGGAGGGGTCTGCAATGTATTGGAGGGGTCTGCTCAGTATTGGAGGGGATCGCTCTGTATTGGAGGGGGGGGGTCTGTTCTGTATTGGAGGGGGGTCTGTTCTGTATTTGGAGGGGGGTCTGTTCTGTAGAATGAACTGACCCCAGCGAGGGCTGACTTACTAAAATGTGGATTACTGGGAATTCCAAGAATTTCAAACTCGTGGGCTGACAAAACTGAAAACACGGCTGACAGCGAGTTTTCTCATTAGGCCGTATTGACCTAAACATTCGGAGTTGCTACAAACTCTGAGTGATAGCAAATTAAGATATACAGGGAGTGCAGAATTATTAGGCAAGTTGTATTTTTGAGGATTAATTTTATTATTGAACAACAACCATGTTCTCAATGAACCCAAAAAACTCATTAATATCAAAGCTGAATATTTTTGGAAGTAGTTTTTAGTTTGTTTTTAGTTATAGCTATGTTAGGGGGATATCTGTGTGTGCAGGTGACTATTACTGTGCATAATTATTAGGCAACTTAACAAAAAACAAATATATACCCATTTCAATTATTTATTATTACCAGTGAAACCAATATAACATCTCAACATTCACAAATATACATTTCTGACATTCAAAAACAAAACAAAAACAAATCAGTGACCAATATAGCCACCTTTCTTTGCAAGGACACTCAAAAGCCTGCCATCCATGGATTCTGTCAGTGTTTTGATCTGTTCACCATCAACATTGCGTGCAGCAGCAACCACAGCCTCCCAGACACTGTTCAGAGAGGTGTACTGTTTTCCCTCCTTGTAAATCTCACATTTGATGATGGACCACAGGTTCTCAATGGGGTTCAGATCAGGTGAACAAGGAGGCCATGTCATTAGATTTTCTTCTTTTATACCCTTTCTTGCCAGCCACGCTGTGGAGTACTTGGACGCGTGTGATGGAGCATTGTCCTGCATGAAAATCATGTTTTTCTTGAAGGATGCAGACTTCTTCCTGTACCACTGCTTGAAGAAGGTGTCTTCCAGGAACTGGCAGTAGGACTGGGAGTTGAGCTTGACTCCTTCCTCAACCCAAAAAGGCCCCACAAGCTCATCTTTGATGATACCAGCCCAAACCAGTACTCCACCTCCACCTTGCTGGCGTCTGAGTCGGACTGGAGCTCTCTGCCCTTTATCAATCCAGCCACGGGCCCATCCATCTGGCCCATCAAGACTCACTCTCATTTCATCAGTCCATAAAACCTTAGAAAAATCAGTCTTGAGATATTTCTTGGCCCAGTCTTGACGTTTCAGCTTGTGTGTCTTGTTCAGTGGTGGTCGTCTTTCAGCCTTTCTTACCTTGGCCATGTCTCTGAGTATTGCACACCTTGTGCTTTTGGGCACTCCAGTGATGTTGCAGCTCTGAAATATGGACAAACTGGTGGCAAGTGGCATCGTGGCAGCTGCACGCTTGACTTTTCTCAGTTCATGGGCAGTTATTTTGCGCCTTGGTTTTTCCACACGCTTCTTGCGACCCTGTTGACTATTTTGAATGAAACGCTTGATTGTTCGATGATCACGCTTCAGAAGCTTTGCAATTTTAAGAGTGCTGCATCCCTCTGCAAGATATCTCACTATTTTTGACTTTTCTGAGCCTGTCAAGTCCTTCTTTTGACCCATTTTGCCAAAGGAAAGGAAGTTGCCTAATAATTATGCACACCTGATATAGGGTGTTGATGTCATTAGACCACACCCCTTCTCATTACAGAGATGCACATCACCTAATATGCTTAATTGGTAGTAGGCTTTCGAGCCTATACAGCTTGGAGTAAGACAACATGCATAAAGAGGATGATGTGGTCAAAATACTCATTTGCCTAATAATTCTGCACTCCCTGTAAATGGTAACATACTGGCTGCACTAGCTGAGCCCGTGGTATTCGACACATCACAGTGTAATTAAATTAATCACCGCCGTGAGTTTTATATTATTGTTACACTGGCGTAATCACTGTTTAGTGGATATTTATTATTATTATTATTAGACATTTTAAATTGCTGGGTGATTTTTATTTTAACACCGCGATATATTCTTTCAATTTTTGGTGGTTGTTTTCTGAAGAACAGACTCTTGGGGTTGCTGCGGCAGATTGTATTATTATACACTGTATCTCTTGCCTAATAAAGTGGTTATAGTGTCAGGAATCCCCTGTGTCTCTTGCCTAATAAAGTGGTTATAGTGTCAGGAATCCCCTGTGTCTCTTGCCTAATAAAGTGGTTATAGTGTCAGGAATCCCCTGTGTCTCTTGCCTAATAAAGTGGTTATAGTGTCAGGAATCCCCTGTGTCTCTTGCCTAATAAAGTGGTTATAGTGTCAGGAATCCTCGGTATATCTTGCCTAATAAAGTGGTTATAGTGTCAGGAATCCCCTGTATCTCTTGCTTAATAAAGTGGTTATAGTGTCAGGAATCCCCTGTGTCTCTTGCCTAATAAAGTGGCTATAGTGTCAGGAATCCCCTGTGTCTCTTGCCTAATAAAGTGGTTATAGTGTCAGGAATCCCCTGTGTCTCTTGCCTAATAAAGTGGTTATAGTGTCAGGAATCCCCTGTGTCTCTTGCCTAATAAAGTGGTTATAGTGTCAGGAATCCCCTGTATCTCTTGCCTAATAAAGTGGTTATAGTGGCAGGAATTCCCTATGTCTCTTGCCTAATAAAGTGGTTATAGTGTCAGGAATCCCCTGTGTCTCTTGCCTAATAAAGTGGTTATAGTGTCAGGAATCCTCTGTATCTTTTGCCTAATAAAGTGGTTATAGTGTCAGGAATCCTTGCCTAATAAAGTGGTTATAGTGTCAGGAATCCCCTGTATCTCTTGCCTAATAAAGTGGTTATAGTGTCAGGAATCCCCTGTATCTCTTGGCTAATAAAGTGGTTATAGTGTCAGGAATCCCCGGTATCTCTTACCTAATAAAGTGGTTATAGTGTCAGGAATCCCCTGTATCTCTTACCTAATAAAGTGGTTATAGTGTCAGGAATCCCCTGTATCTCTTGCCTAATAAAGTGGTTATAGTGTCAGGAATCCCCTGTATCTCTTGCCTAATAAAGTGGTTATAGTGTCAGGAATCCTTGCCTAATAAAGTGGTTATAGTGTCAGGAATCCCCTGTATCTCTTGGCTAATAAAGTGGTTATAGTGTCAGGAATCCTTGCCTAATAAAGTGGTTATAGTGTCAGGAATCCCCTGTATCTCTTGCCTAATAAAGTGGTTATAGTGTCAGGAATCCTTGCCTAATAAAGTGGCTATAGTGTCAGGAATTCCCTGTATCTCTTGCCTAATAAAGTGGTTATAGTGTCAGGAATCCCCGGTATCTCTTGCCTAATAAAGTGGTTATAGTGTCAGGAATCCCCTATATCTCTTGCCTAATAAAGTGGTTATAGTGTCAGGAATCCCCTATATCTCTTGCCTAATAAAGTGGTTATAGTGTCAGGAATCCTTGCCTAATAAAGTGGTTATAGTGTCAGGAATCCCCTGTATCTCTTGCCTAATAAAGTGGTTATAGTGTCAGGAATCCCCGGTATCTCTTACCTTATAAAGTGGTTATAGTGTCAGGAATCCCCTGTATCTCTTGCCTAATAAAGTGGTTATAGTGTCAGGAATTCCCTGTATCTCTTGCCTAATAAAGTGGTTATAGTGTCAGGAATCCTTGCCTAATAAAGTGGTTATAGTGTCAGGAATCCCCTGTATCTCTTGGCTAATAAAGTGGTTATAGTGTCAGGAATCCTTGCCTAATAAAGTGGTTATAGTGTCAGGAATCCCCTGTATCTCTTGCCTAATAAAGTGGTTATAGTGTCTTGAATCCCCTGTATCTCTTGGCTAATAAAGTGGTTATAGTGTCAGGAATTCTTGCCTAATAAAGTGGTTATAGTGTCAGGAATCCCCTGTATCTCTTGCCTTATAAAGTGGTTATAGTGTCAGGAATCCCCTGTATCTCTTACCTAATAAAGCGGTTATAGTGTCAGGAATCCCCTGTATCTCTTGCCTAATAAAGTGGTTATAGTGTCAGGAATCCCCTGTATCTCTTACCTAATAAAGTGGTTATAGTGTCAGGAATCCCCGGTATCTCTTACCTAATAAAGTGGTTATAGTGTCAGGAATCCCCTGTATCTCTTGCCTAATAAAGTGGTTATAGTGTCAGGAATTCCCTATATCTCTTGCCTAATAAAGTGGTTATAGTGTCAGGAATCCCCTGTATCTCTTGCCTAATAAAGTGGTTATAGTGTCAGGAATCCCCTGGCGCTGTCCAACCATTTAGCATTTAAACCGGTTTAATGTTTTATCACTAAACGCGTCCCCAGCAGCCCCTCCCCTTTGTACTGCTTGGGATAATGAGGAAGAATTAGCACCAATTGGCAGCTGTGATTGGCTGAGAGTGTCAGGGCCCATTGCTGATATGAATCTCTGCCTTAGCCACATCTCCAGTGGGTGGAGCTATGGGAAGTCAGGGTCCCTCATTCAGAGTTAGGCCGATCTAAAATGGTTTTAATACGGAATGGGGGGGACAACGCAAGGGGACTCCAGGAACTATAACCACTTCAATGATATGAAATGATTACTATATTTATAATGGAGTGCCTTTTTTCACATTTATTGGTTTTGAATCAGTGCTTTCTCACTGCAACCAGGTCACCTTTATATCACTAAATTAGGAGCTTATTGGATGAATCTCCCATCATATCACCAGAATGTGAGCCTATTGGACGGGTCTCCCATCATATTACCAGATTGTGAGCCTAATGGAGGGATCACCCATCATATCACCAGACTGTGAGCCTATTGGAAAGATCTCCCATCATATCACCAGAATGTGAGCCTATTGGACGGGTCTCCCATCATATCACCAGAATGTGAGCCTATTGGACGGGTCTCCCATCATATTACCAGATTGTGAGCCTATTGGAGGGATCACCCATCATATCACCAGACTGTGAGCCTATTGGAAAGATCTCCCATCATATCACCAGAATGTGAGCCTATTGGAGGGATCACCCATCATATCACCAGACTGTGAGCCTATTGGACGGGTCTCCCATCATATCACCAGAATGTGAGCCTATTGGAGGGATCACCCATCATATCACCAGACTGTGAGCCTATTGGACAGGTCTCCCATCATATCACCAGAATGTGAGCCTATTGGACGGGTCTCCCATCATATTACCAGATTGTGAGCCTATTGGAGGGATCACCCATCATATCACCAGACTGTGAGCCTATTGGAAAGATCTCCCATCATATCACCAGAATGTGAGCCTATTGGAGGGATCACCCATCATATCACCAGACTGTGAGCCTATTGGACGGGTCTCCCATCATATCACCAGAATGTGAGCCTATTGGAGGGATCACCCATCATATCACCAGACTGTGAGCCTATTGGAGGGATCACCCATCATATCACCAGACTGTGAGCCTATTGGACGGGTCTCCCATCATATCACCAGAATGTGAGCCTATTAGAGGGATCACCCATCATATCAACAGACTGTGAGCCTATTGGAGTGTTAACCCATCATATCACCAGATTGTGAACCTATTGGACGAAAAAAAAAGGGGGTCAAAATATTTTCTTGGAAATTGTAGACCTGTGAGCTTAACGTCTGTGACTGGGAAAATATTTGAAGGGCTATTAAGGGATAACATTCAAGAATTTATTGGGAAGAACTTTATTAGCAATAATCAGCATGGTTTTATGAAGCAACAGGTCATGTCAAATTAACCTAATTGTTTTCTACGAAGAGGTAAATAGAAGTGTACAGGTGATACGTGAAAAATTAGAATATCGTAGATCAGGGTGTTGCAGTGGATGTGATCTACTTGGATTTTGCCAAGGCGTTTAACCTCTTAGTGACAGACCTCTTTTCAATTTTCTTACCTTTTGGGACCAGGGCACTTTTTCCATTTCTGCGGTGTTTGTGTTTAGATGTAATTTTCCTGTAACTCATTTACTGTACCCACACATATTATATACCATTTTTATACCATTAAATGGTCTTTCTAAAGATACCATTATTTTCATCAAGTCATATAATTTACAATAAAAAAAATGTACAAACACACTTTTCAAAACTTTGACTCCCAAAATCTGTTACGCATCTACAACCGCCAAAAAACACCCGTGCTAAATAGTTTCTAAATTTTGTCCTGAGTTTAAAAAAATGCCCAATGTTAACATGTTCTTAGCTTTCTTAGGAAAGTTATAGGGCAATAAGTACAAGTAGCACTTTGCCATTTCCAAACCACTTTTTTTAAAATTAACGCAAGTTACATTGTAACACTGATATCTGTCAGGAATCCCTGAATAACCCTTCATATGTATGTGTATGTGTATGTGTATATATATATATATATATATATATTTATATATTTTTTTTTTTTTAAAAGAAGACAACCTAAGGTATTAAACTTGGGTATTTTGACTCTTTTCATGCAGCCATTTTACCACTAATCTATGTAAAAAAAAAAAAAGATTTTGTTGACACACATAGCATAGCAATACATGTACTGAGAACTTTAAGGGTTACTGCCAAAGCCCAATATGTGTTCAGCAACATCTCCTGAGTACAGTTATAACCCCCATGTATAGGTGTGTCGGGTTCTCTGGGGGCTAAAATACCTTATTTGAAGGGTGCGCATTCCAGTTTTCCAACTTGGAATTTTTACAGCTGGTCATCATCTACCCATGTCCTATTTGGGACATTTTTTAAGCCGGCCAATGTAATTTACCCCCATCAAACCATATATTTTAACGCTAACTTTGGCCAGTGTTTGTAACTAAGTGGCTAGTAAAAAGTAAAAAAGACTGGACATACCCTATTTGCAATACCTTGGGTTGTCTTCTTTTTTCATTCCTGGGATACCATACGCTCTCAAAGGCAACCTAACCAATCTGGCAAATTTCAATGTGAAAAAAACACCTTATATTTGACCCTGTAACTTTCAAAAACACTATACAACCTGTATATGGTGGGGTACTGTTATACCCGGGAGACTTTGCTGAACATATTAGTGTTTCAAAACCGTAAACCGTATCGCAATAATATCATCAGTATAAGTGACGTTTGTGTGTGAAAAGTGCAAAAAAAGGTAAATTTCACTGATGATATAATTGTTGTGATACATTTTACAGTTTTGAATCACTAATATTTGTGTTCAGCGAAGTCTCCTGAGTAAAACAGTACCGCCCCCCATGTGCAGGTTTTAGGGTGTCATAGAAAGTTATAGGGTTAAATACAGTGCTAGCAAATTAAATTCCCTGGACTTTCAGCCTGGGTTGTCAGGCAGGTCCCTCAAATTGTAATCAATAAAATTAATTATGTAAAAATATTACATAAATACGCATGTAGAATTTAAATATATGTATACATATTTATATATTTGAAGTCTACGTGTATATTTATGTAATTATGTATATGGACATATGTATATTTCGTTTATATATACACACACATATAATTTCATGCTAAGTGTATTTTGATATAAATATATATTAATATCAAAAGTTACAATAAAATTACATATTAAATATTTTTTCATAGTGTGTATGTGTGTAATTTTACTTTAAGTGTATTTTTATATTAATAAAAAAATACTTACTATGACGTTATGTGAGTATATAATTTTTTATTTTTTTTAAAACTTTTTTCTCCAGCAGGGGGACAGGCTATCAGTTCAGGCAGTCCCCCTGCTGGCAGCAGTATGGACACCTATTGCGGCCATGAGACTGCTCTTTTGGAGCGGTCCTAATCTGCATAGGGGGAGACTCTCTGGGCTGTCAGACCGTACCCCTACTGAAGAAGACTGATCACCGGCAGGAGAACTGTGGCGATCTATTTAATATGTTTATAAATGATATAATAGGCATTGAAAGCCATGTATCAGTGTTTGCAAATGACACAAAACTTTGTAAAAGTAACAAAATATGAGCAGGATATTGCTTTGCTGCAGAGGGATTTGGACAGATTGGGGGACTGGGCACTAAAATGGCAGATGAAATTTAATATAGAGAAATGCAAAGTTATGCACTTCGGGATTAAGAATGCACAAGCAATTTACACCCTAAATGGTAGTGAATTAGGGATAACCACACACGAGAAGGATTTGGGAATTGTTATAGACAACAAATTAGGCAGCAATATGCAATATCAATCTGCAGTTGCTAAGGCCAGTAAGGTTTTGTCATGTATAAATAGGAGCATAAATTCTCGGGATGAAAATATAATTTTGCCTCTTTATAAATCGCTGGTAAGACCACACCTTGAACATGCTGTGCAATTTTGGGCACCTCTTCTAAAGAAAGATATTATGGCACTAGAAAAAGTGCAGAGACGAGCTACAAAACTGATAAAAGGAATGGAGCATTTTAGTTATGAAGAAAGATTTAAAAATGTAAATCTCTTTAGTTTGGAAAAACAGCGCCTGAGAGGGGATATGATAACATTATACAAATATATTCGGGGCCAGTACAAACCTTTATCTGGAAATCTATTCATAAACAGGGCTATACATAGGACACGAGGTCACACATTTAGGCTGGAAGAAAGGAGATTTCATCTAAGGCAAAGAAAAGGTTTTTTATTTTACAGTAAGAGCAATAAGGATGTGGAATTCTCTGCCTGAAGAGGTGGTTTTAGCAGAGTCCATACAGATGTTTAAACAGCAATTGGATAAATACTTGCAAAAATATAACATACAGGGAGACACTTTTTTTTTTTTTTATTCTTTATTTTTGCATTGACAGACTGCAGTATATCAGCAATATAAGGCTTGTGGACAAGCTGCTGCATCAAACATAGCATTACATATATGATTTGTAAAGGAAGGCAAAAATATTTAACAACATGTAATACATCAAACATTGGTGACTGGCTTGTTCAGTCTGTCAAAGTTTTTCAATGGCATTATATTTAACAAGGCAAAACGTCCAGTATACTGGGTACCTATTGTCGTAGTTGTGTTATTCGTTATAACCGACTTCTCGGATCGAGATAAGTGATCTTGTTTTCATTGATACACGCTAGTGTGGACCCTATGGTCTCCAAAGTTGGAGGAGTCTCGGTTGATTTTAATACTGGGGTGAATCACTTGTAAAGGCTGCATCCGAAGCGTGTGGATTATTGTTCGTGAATGCTTCGCCTGTTTATTAGGTACTAGTCCCTTACTTGGGTTAGTGTTGCCCGTTAACTGCCTATGTATGCTAAAGTCGGTGTTTGGCTAATAGGTAAGCTGTGAGGAATACAGTTTTTAATTAGTGGGGTTATAGCATCTTGATTCAAGGAGATAGATTTTAGATGTCACCTGCTAAATGAAATATGACAAGATTAAACTTTGTAGGAAATACAGTTTAATCCAAATATTGTGCTGTCAATTTGCGGACACATCTATAACTCACATAGTGCGGAACAAATTTTTTTTTTTTGCATGAATTGTGCAGTTTGGTGCAAAAGTGAATAAATCCCAGAATGAACAATTCTTAGATTTCATCTAAGGCAAAGAAAAGGTTTTTTTACAGTAAGAACAATAAGGATGTGGAATTCTCTGCCTGAAGAGGTGGTTTTGTCAGAGTCCATACAGATGTTTAAACTGAAATTGAATAAATACTTACAAAAACATAACATACAGGGATATAATTTCTAATTAGTGGGGTAATAGCTGCTTGATCCAATGAGACATCTGACTGCTATTTTGGGGTCAAGAAGGAATTTTTTCCTAGTTTGTTGCAAAATTGGAAGCGCTTCAGACTCGGTTTTTTGCCTTCTTTTGGATCAAAAGCAAAAACAGATGTGAGGAAGGCTGAACTTGATGGACGCAAGTCTCTTTTCAGCTATGTAACTATACCATTGTGTTTTAGTAATAATATAACGCAATGCACGTAAACCATAAGAAATGATTTACAAATCATTGTCCCGATGCTTCCCACGTGAATTGAACTTAGTGGTGCAATGGTTTCCCAGGGACATATTGGCATTTATAGAGATCTGATCCATTCGGGATGGGATCCAACCAAAGTTATCGTGGAGACGCTTGCATTGAGCCAATTCTTACCTCAACAACAAAGCTTCCATCCAAGTCCACATACTCACATAAAACCTCACAAACTCAATGCAGCAAAATCCCTCGTCGTTGCAACTCCAAGAATCCTACACCTTTTTATATTGGTACCAATGGTTGAAGATTTAAAATCATGGAAGAAGTGGTTGCATTGGCAGAAGACATGGACACCAACAAGGGGTTTGGTTTACTTGTTGAAACTTTCACCGGCATGTTCCAGGTTGAATCCCACGTTCGATTTGGTAAGGCTGTTTGTGGTGATCTGGTTCTCTCCATACACAATATTGATCAGTTTTAGGTCTCCGTCAGTCATTGTTTTTACGGTTTGTATTAATGATAAATTGGATTTCACCTTCTCTAATTCTCCATTTCCACCCTCTCATTTTTTAGGTTTATTTTTGCTTATTACTGTTGTAAACAGTTGCACTTGGAGAACCCCAAAATATTACTTTGCTCCTCCAATTCAGTAACACTCCTTTAGGCTTGTCCAGTTAATGCGAAGTACATATTCATTGCCTATCGATGTAAAGACCTATTTTACCAGGAATCCAATGGATGTGTACCAGATTGAGACTGCAATGTGTGGCGCAGGGAGCTATGGTCTTACTTTTACCGCATCCTTGAAAATCGTAAGTAGGCCATGACTTAATGCTGTTGGATAAGCTTTCCAAATTATTTAATATATTTGGATAAACCTTTAACATGATTTAATATTATAAAAATATTGTAATTTTGTAAGATTTTAAAATCGGATAGTTTTTATATATATTTTGATAATTACATATATTGAAAATGTTTATTAAAAGGTTTTCCAAAAATATTGAATCATTTGGAAAGCGTATCCACCAAAATGAAATGAAGGCCTTAGTTTGCAAGATAAGAGAGAATCGTCACATACTCCTCTGAGGTTATCACCAGAAGTCATTTCCCCCCACGTTTCCTTTAGTTCATCGTACTCTTCTATTAACTACAGTGGGAACAATGGGAGGTTCCTTGTATTTGGACTGAATCCATTCAACTGGCCTTTAAAGTGACGGGGAGACAAATACAAACATTTACTTTATTTGACAACTTTAATTAAAGAGGCATTAAATGTTAATTGTAGTTACACAAGTAGTGTGATGTGAGAAGTGAGCCACAGCAGGAAAAACAATGTGTGTATGTATATATTATAGACATTGTTACTGCTTGTCCTCTTTATCCCTCTACTTGATCTGTTAGGAGGGAGAGCTTGGCAGGAAGGAACAAGAGCATGGTAGGGAGGAGGGAGAGCATGGTAGGGAGGAGGGAGAGCATGGTAGGGAGGAGGGAGAGCGTGGTAGGGAGGAGGGAGAGCATGGTAGGGAGGAGGGAGAGCATGGTAGGGAGGAGGGAGAGCATGGTAGGGAGGAGGGAGAGCGTGGTAGGAAGGAACAAGAGCGTGGTAGGGAGGAGGGAGAGCGTGGTAGGGAGGAGGGAGAGCGTGGTGGGGAGAGCGTAGTAAGGTAGAGTATGGTAAGGAGGATAGAGAGCGCAGTAAGGTAGAGTATAGTAAGGAGGATAGAGAGCGCAGTAAGGTAGAGTATGGTAAGGAGGATCGAGAGCGCAGTAAGGTAGAGTATGGTAAGGAGGATCGAGAGAGCGCAGTAAGGTAGAGTATGGTAAGGAGGATAGAGAGCGCAGTAAGGTAGAGTATGGTAAGGAGGATAGAGAGCGCAGTAAGGTAGAGTATGGTAAGGAGGATAGAGAGCGCAGTAAGGTAGAGTATGGTAAGGAGGATCGAGAGCGCAGTAAGGTAGAGTATGGTAAGGAGGATAGAGAGCGCAGTAAGGTAGAGTATGGTAAGGAGGATAGAGAGCGCAGTAAGGTAGAGGGAGAGTATGGTAAGGAGGATAGAGAGCGCAGTAAGGTAGAGTATGGTAAGGAGGATAGAGAGCGCAGTAAGGTAGAGTATGGTAAGGAGGATCGAGAGCGCAGTAAGGTAGAGTATGGTAAGGAGGATCGAGAGCGCAGTAAGGTAGAGTATGGTAAGGAGGATCGAGAGCGCAGTAAGGTAGAGTATGGTAAGGAGGATCGAGAGCGCAGTAAGGTAGAGTATGGTAAGGAGGATCGAGAGCACAGTAAGGTAGAGTATGGTAAGGAGGAGGGAGAATGTGGTGGAGGAGGGTGAGCATGGTTGGGAGGGGATGAGGACCACAGATTGTGATCCTGAAGGCATTGCTAGTTATAAACTGGAGAAGCATCCGCATCTTCCCCACCTGGAGACAGATTCCAGCCATGAGTACCAAGTGATTCCATGTTCTAATTAGTCTGCCCGTGTTTGACAGTGGGGGTAGTTTGCCGCCTCCAGAAGGCAGGAATGGTGCCTTCATGGTTGGTGAATGTAGGAGCGTCACAGCCATTTGAAACGGTAATCCCGGGCCAGTGATTGATCCCATAGTGTAACGTTACGGTCACACTGTGAATCGCACATGGTTTTGCTTTAATCTACTCATTCTAAACGGCAGTCAATATGTATGTTATCAGTTACTTTCCATACTGGTGTTTCTATGTTTGATTCTTTAGATTGTAAGCTCTTCTTCATCTACTGTTCCTATAAGCTGATGTCTTTGGTTAGAATGAAATATCTGTCTTGTTAACCTATTGTACAGCGCTGCAGAATACGTTGGTGCTATAGTATAACGTTTTATTTTCCTGTAATCGGAAGAATGGTAAATCTAGTGACTGGCAGGGTTTCACCATATTACAGATCCTGTGAAACTGTGGAAGAAGCTTACAGATGCTGCCTGCAAAGCTCGGGTCCGGCAAGGTTTTATTAATGTCACCGGGCGGCTGTGTGAGCCAAATCAAACTGGAACAGAAAGCACTCACAAAATCAGAATAACTCAAACAGAAATAAACACATAGATTCAATACTTTTAGGTTAATATTTTATCATTTTTTTTTTTACAAATGTACAGAGTTTTGGGTTTGTGCAGGAGAAGCACACAAGTACACAAAACACATTGCTAAGGACAAAGTCTCCAAAATTCGAAGACACAAAGAAGCTTGGGGTCAATGAAAAGGTTAACAGTAGCTCACAGTTTGCAAAAATGGATCATTAACACCTTAAATTGCTCCCAGATTCCCTTTAAAAATATATTTAGAATAGTCAGCAGGCATTATAGTGTTAAATGGGACCAAAAGCCAAATGGTGATGTCCCTTTGTACAAACTACATTTCCCAACAGTCCTTATTGAATGATCAACAAAAACTCTGCTTGAAATTAGTTTCTACTATAACCACCATGACTTGGTTTTGGCTCCGAAGGTAGAAAGTGGATCGGCCCCTGCCTATTACACCCAGAACTCTAGCCATCCAAGCCCACTGTACGAGACCTATATTTAATAAAGTGACAAAAATGCAGATGTGGTTCAGATAGCTATATACAAATGAGATCATTTATCAGATGCAATGATTGATTGAGATATAAACACACCAGTGTGTACTATTTAAAGCCAGTTCTATTCAGGATTCATGCTTACAATTGCCATGGAGATCCTCAACTCACTGGGTTTATTTGATAAACTACAAATTATCTAATTTCATGATTCAATTCTTTCACAATTTTGCTGATTTTAAAAGGATTTGTCCATAGCCCAGCGGTACCTTCTGCACCTGGCCACCTTCTCCATCCATAATGAAAAGATTCTTCCATTTCAGAAGAACTTTATAAAATTTGGCAAAAAGCCTGTTAGTGGTAATCTGCAATGATCCTTGAAAGATAAATAGGGGAATCAGAAATGAGTTCTGTTAGGTCTGGAGGTACAGAGACTATATCTTTAAAACTTCCATTACGGCCCCCATTCTATAAGCAGTTATAGGAATACTCTACTGCCCAGATACAAAAAAACTAAAACAAACAAAATACATAAAAAATTACTGTTTGTATATGTAACACCAATGTGTTTAATTATACATTTTTTCATTAGGGGTATAAAACCAGCTTGCAAAAGCCCTCCCCTTCAAATCCCGCCCAGACTGTCTGTGGTTGTCCAATCACAGGCTTCCCAATGCAGCTCAATGAGAAGTCTTTGCAAGGCAGGTGCTCTGAGCAATTGCTGCCTCTTGAGTTTATCTCCACTGAGCTAAACAAACCAGGAAGTAACAAGAGCGGTTATCTGATTGACAGCCAGGGGGGTGTAACAAGGTTTACAAAAGTGACAATTTCCATTAAAACCTGCACTTATTGTAAAATGAAATTAAATAAATAAAAAGTTGAGGACACACTTCACACAAATAACTTCAGCCAGTTAAAGTAGGGGTCTGGAGTGTTATTTTAAAGATACGTCTATAGGATGGAGTAGGCAAGGAGTAAGGATTTGTTTTCTCTTCACTAGAATTAAGGAAATGTAAAAAATTCTAGAGAAGTTTTGTATGTTTTTATCAAACAGGAATGGCTTTCTTGTGTAAACAATATACATTTAATTAGGCAGTAAAAATTAGATTTAAAAACAGTTGATCATCACTGAAGTATCGAAGTTCCTGTGATCTCAGATTACGGTGTCCAGAGATCTGCAAAGATGCACCGTTTGATCTTTAGGACGACCTTTAAAGGTCTTACGGCCAGAAACCTACTTATTGACAAAGTGCAGCCAATAAACTACCTCCCAAACGCCTCTGATGGACTGCTTAGCCATGCAGCCACCACTTGTCAATTGTCCAGCACAGACGCTCTGTGCAAGACCTGGTTAACGGCAAAGCATGCACGTGGCTCAGCACAGGCTTTCTATGTGTTTGTGCATTTTTCTGGGCAATATAATTGGCTCAAGCTCACTAAACCTGCTTTAAACATACATGTACTACTGAAAGTGCAACCAGGCAGGCGGTGCCCAGTAAACATTCACTTGTCAATAAACACTGTGCCAAATCTGACTTTCATTGTAACAATGAGGCTGTGGGCAGCATAGAGAAAGCTCTACCCTGTATAGATCCGTTGGGTGATAGAAGCTATGCCCAGATTGAATGCTTAATTAGAGTCTGGTGGAGTTCAATGCAGAGTAGATTTCAAGGAAGTGAACATTGAATTTGTAGATTGTTCTCCCGTTACACTGATATCTTCCTAAGACTTCGGAAAAATGTTGGGATTAATGAATAAATGGTTGTAGGCCATGCCTCTAACTAACCAATGGCGGCTGGGATGCTTGTTTTTTTACTTCTAAATCTATATATTTTTTTTATTTGTGAAGAGTGTTTCTTTATCTTGAAGTGCAGATTCCAATAGAAATTGGCAGATTTATAAATTAATCTTGTTACACCAACCAGCTTTCATCTGATTTATTGGTTGTTTTTTTCCCCTGTGGCTCGGCCAATTAGTTGCACATGGCCAATATGGCTAAATCGGTTGCTATTTGGGCAGTGAATTGTCAGGAATTGTGTACTTGTGTTGGGAGCATCGCATGTCACCTGCACGCTGCAGTGTCAGACTATATAAAATCTTATCAGAGGACATTATAAAAATCTTACAGACAAAAAAAAATAACAATAAAAAATGGGAAAATCAGCTACAAGTTACCATGAAATGCTCTGATAATTCCACTTGTTTTAACAATGATTGCCTTACTAATAAACGTCTGAGACTTCCGGCCTGCCTCATGTCATCAGGACCTAATCAGGAGCCAGGACTATTAAATGTATTATCAACTACCCTGCTTTCACACAATCTACATTGCAGCTAATTATAAAGCATAGGTGGAGGGGCACAATTTGCACTCTTTATAAGAAAACCCAACCACAGTCTGCTAAACTGGTAGTATAAACCTTTTTAAAGGTTTTCCACCCTCCCTCCAATCAACAATCAAAATGGATCCATAAATGTTTCGCTTGCATGATTGGCCATGCAGGATTTAGTAGCGCATATTATGGGGACACACCGTGTAGCCAGCATAGCCTCTCCAGTAACTAACTGCAAACACGTGTGTGTTCCTTTAAGGCTGAACATGCCAGACAGCCGACACAGACATTAGTGTAAATTGTGGCACTCCACGTTAGTGAGATTAGTGAAACAGAGGAGAAAGCCAGTTATAAAGACGTCACTCGGCATTACATGGGAAGCCCAGACAGTGTAATTCACTCAATTTCTAACAGCAGCCAAGCGAAATCTGAATTACAAAATAGAGT